GTGTGGTTTTAATAATATACCCGCAGGCTGTAACAATTTTATCGCCCAATGGCTGTAATGGATTTTTCAAAATATCAGATATAGCAACGTTTTTGTCAATGGATTGTAATAAAACAAGATTTTACAAGATAACTTTAACAATTTGAAAGATATAACGCGAGGTTCGTTGTTTTAATATGTGTAGTTGAATAACTAGTGAGGACTATATAACTGGATGGTGGATCTCACATTATTTTTAAATATTGTATTGTCAAGAGGTAAGTGATGATATTTGTCTTTCATAGGTCTAAATTGATGTTTTCGTAAAGAGCTTGTTGAATTACTAGCTACATTTCACTACATTAGAATTATATAATTTAATACAACAAAATGTTCGATGTAATACAAACAGAAAATAAATAACAATATGATGTAAGCATGGTTCTGGAAAACGGTTTACTCATATTTTGCTTGATTTTGTTGTCCCTTCTGCTTTCGGATTATCATAACGGATATGTTTTTGTGACAAAGTATATTTTTATTTTGTTGTGTGATTATCGTTTACTATTGCTAATACATAATCTACGTAACTGAACATGTATATCAATGACTATCAAAATTAATGTACTTGTGATGATGCATGTGACTATATGATATTTACTATGCAAACATGTAACTGAAAATATGTATCAATAATTAATGATTATTATCTCCTCTAATATATCACTTAATTCTCAAAGCCACAGAATCATGGCAAAACAGACGACATAATTTTGTAAAAACAGACGTAAAGCCTACACTTGTCAAAACCCACTGCCAAAAAGTATTTAAAAATTTGAGCCTTCAAATATATATGTCCGCTTTTGAAAGTTAAAAAGACGAGTAGTCTTTTTTGGAGACAATGCCATATATAGTAAAGTCATATAGAACGTTTAACGTCCTACTTTTCTGCACCATGTGGGTTAATGAAGACGGGCAACGCCATGCAGGGTGCAATGAGGGAAATTTTGCCAATTTTTCGATTTCCAACTGTCGAGGGATCTTTAACGTGCACAGCCTGCAGCACACGGGCCTTGGTTTATTGTGCCATTCGAACGACTAGACGCGTTTTCCATGTCAGCTCCTCTTACCTGCATCACTGACAGGGGGAAACCGGTTTGAAAAATCTGAAGGTATTATCTCGACCTATGCATAATCATTCAGTCGAATAGTCTCGTCGACCAGTAACAGGTGGTACGGCAATGGCGAAGGGTTATAAGCTGAAAATTGACACAAACGGTCCGCCAAGAAATCGGCAAATATTTGCCGACGTTCTGCGTAGCTTCGCAGATACGTTTGCGTGCAATTTGGCGACAAAACGTCGTGAATGAATCTCTACCAATTTCATTGCAAGCAATGAATTTTTTTTCGTTCTTGCGAAGCTGTCGTGATCCAGTGAGACGGCTTGCGATTTCTTTGCGATCATCACAGAAGCACGGCAAACATTCTGCCTATGCCACTGCGAAGCATTGAGATTGTCAACGTTTTTTCTGCGCCATCGGTTTGCAAACTATAGCAAAGCCCAGTGGGACTAAGGTTTTTATATACCCATATGTCGTCAACATGTCGGGGAATATTCGGCTAAGTTAGGCGGATAATCGACAAAAAGTTCCTAAAATTGTCCAACATCGCCAATACAACGCTGAATATTTTCAGATATATCAGCAACAGTCGCTGTCATTCGTCAACCTTGAGGATTAATCTCGGTCATGGTCAGCAGATCCATCGCAAATTATCATCTCCGTTCCACTATTTCTACAATTTTGTCGCTGTCAAGACCATCGCAGATTTCTAAATTCTCAGTGGGACTGAGGCTTTACAAAACATTTTAATTTGCCAATATTGAACATCAACAGTCATGGTGTCGTGAGTGCTATAAATAAGAGAATAAAATGAATTTTTCAAGATCAATATATATTATATTTCTATATCCGATATATATATAAAGGCTTTAATAATAATGAAATATTAACCAATCTTTGAAACATTCACATGATAACATAATTTAATAATAGGTATTATTGCTTAAGATTACCATGGATAAGAACTAAACAAATTTTGAGATCATGCAACTATAGTTAAGTATAGGCTTGAGAAAGATAGGCGTGTATTTCTTCTTTACCTGGTGCATCTAAATGACCACGTATATATATCCTCCAATCTTTGTTGTCGCTACCCATGTTGTTGAAACTTATCATGTTTACACACTCTATAGGTCAACTATCGAGGCCAGCTATTAATATAGCGTCAATCTTGGCTGAATGGGACATATCTTTAACTTCTTGTATCGTGTTTCACATTCTTCATTTAGGATATTGACAATTGAAATATCTTACTGTATCGAAACTGTCCGCGTTATGTACACTTGAAATGTAAGTTTAGTATCATTTGTTATCGTTTGATGAATGTCTGGCAATATTGTTCAAGTTGGCTAGAAAGGGCTGCTCTTTTGTTGCATAATGTTAAAAGAATGTTCAAATCATAGTTATGTGCATGTGTATAGAATTAATTACCCGCTTGGGCATATAAATCAAAGCTCCATTAAGCTCAATTAATTTAAATCAGTAAATAAAACGTTATCAGTATGTAGGTAACAGATGTGAAGTATAAATGGTGTGAAGTATATGTAAATATACCTACAAAAATATAATAATATAAATGTATTAGAGTGCTCTATACATCCATTTTAGATCACCATGGTTCTAGAAATAATAAATCGGACAACTCATTTCATATGTATCATTAGCACCCCTTTAAGATTGTTTATATCTATATGCCAACAAAAATTGTGAAATAAAAAGCCGGACCAGTCCCTCTTCCCATCGTAGAATAACTCCTGTGTACAATCGAGGAAACGTAGTGATTATTATGTTTTCAATGGACGCTTCGACAAATTGTGTAATATTCCAAACCTTTTCCATCTGTCGGATATCTTCCCTAATTCCTTACTGAATTAACTAGGATTATATTGATATTACTAGATTAATAGTATGAAAAATATTGCTGATGGATAAAGTTGTTTATGAGTGTTAACAACTTCAGGTACTGGTTCAGGCTTTTGTTATTTAATCTTGACTTTGTATACCGGATAAGTTCGTAGGTTAGGTTATTTCGACTCGGTATAGATTACATGAGGAAATTAATTCCTCGGTGGCTAACGCTTTCAATGCAATACCCCTTTGCCGGGATTGATCACCGGGCCTTCAGGTTAGCGAGCAAGCTAAAAGTTATTAAAAAGCACAATTATTTCATTTTGATTACATAATTTTGAAATTAGGCCCTATACGTGACGTGACGTCACTGAACATCCAATAGCCATCCAAATTAAAATCAGGCGAATGTGTGCTCAATACTGATTGATGTATAAAATGCCTACTTTTAAGTATAAGGGATTGGAGAAGGGGTATAAAAGACAGAGAGGTAAAGATTTGCCTGCAGGTAAGAGCCTCGTTCTGGATTCAATATGATAGACGCGTCAGTACGGTCTATTAGTTTTAATTATTAATCAGGGCTGGTAGCTATTCATTTTAAGCAACTATGTCATTATGAAGATTTCACAAAGGTTAAAGATTAAAAAGTAGTTTGAACCAAACAATTGGATTACAATATTATTATTCCGTGTAAAAGGTAATGAATTGTTTCCATCAATTTTATTGACTACCTATCATTTGTAATAGAGTATAAATACCACATGTATTGATCGCATCGAGCGCAATGTCAGCACGTACTAAATGAAAGCCAATTAAAACTGCAGTGCGATTGTTGTTTTAAAGTTTTGGAATCGTTTTACGATTGCTTGTTTTCTTGAATTATTGTGGAGATGTTTTTGTTCGAAAAAGGTGTGTATAGATTGTAATAGAACTGTTACCTCGTTAAAGTTTGTTTCTAGATAAAAGCCCAATACTTGATATTTTGTGAGTGACATCAATTGGTCATTTGATTTATAGAACTTGTAGATTTCTGATCTCACAAAACCCGTACTTGAATGTCTGCAATCATTTGATTGGTACCAAGAGAATGTAGAAAATATTGGCAAATGAAGACACATAATTCAGATTGTCCCAATGTTTAATCATAGGTTACGTACAATTATTTTCATTCGATACCGTTCTCAATGACCAGAGTTTGTTTGTAGTTCACACTGATACTGTGTATATCTCGAGTTTTTATTGATTGAAATCCCTAGACTATCGTCATTTTAATTCTTGATGAAGTTGGATGAACGCATAGATGATTTTTAAAGATGTCATATGAAATTAATGAAATTGCAAGATTTAATATTACCCGAGTTTTGGCGAAGGAAATAATTTATCCGGCAACGAATTTCATAAATTTCATATGACATAGGATTGTTTACAAGGTGAATGGATGACATGCACAGTTATTAACATGTGTTTCGAATTCATATCGTTTTGATGAACCTGTGTTATGAAGTTGAGAACAATACTGTTGTGTGATAAATTACAATTCTGCACTGCTACACCAGTCACTGAATAGTTTTCTATCTTTTTCAGGATGAGAACACTCAACAAGGGCTCTTTAGCCCAAATCCAGTTTATACTAGGATTCGTATTGGGAATAGTTGTAACCTTCCTCTTTAGTTCAATGATAACACTAAACCCAAGAGGAGTGCGAGTTCTTCCAGATAACACCAACCTACTAGGTGTACAGAGATTGAGTCAAGAGGTAGCGAAAAACGACCCACACATGTTTGAACATGAACATGGTCACGAGCTAGACCATGATCATGAACATGGTGATTCACACAATGTTGATTTCCATGATACTCACTTGCATCATGGTGAGTATAGAAGAATTCTTTTCGATGAAGAATACCCAAGTTCGTGTGAAAGAGGATACTGAGAATGTTAAAACGATGAAATGAAATATTGAAAGACGTCTTGACTTAAATGAATACGTATGGTGTAATTTACCCTTGATGGATATATCATTACTCAAATTCTATTTCAAATTTGCTTCAGATGGGTTTTTTTTCTTTTCTAGATGATGATACAGTAGCCAAAGAACTCAGTCAATCAGTGAGAGTGTTATGTTGGGTTATGACGTCACCAAAAACCCTAGAAAAGAAGGCTCGAAATGTAAAGAATACGTGGGGGAAACGCTGTAATCATTTGTTATTTTTTAGTTCTGTAGACAATAAAACATTTCCAAGTATAGGACTTGGAGTTCCAGAAGGTCGGGAACATTTAACCGGAAAAACAATGAGAGCCTTCAGACATATCTATGAAAATTATTACGACAAAGCAGATTGGTTCATGAAAGCAGATGATGACACTTACGTCATAGTTGAAAATCTACGTTACTTCCTCTCGGGACAAAATACGTCAGATCCGGTGTATTTTGGACACCGGTTTAAAGTGATCGTAAAGCAAGGATATTATAGTGGAGGTGCGGGGTATGTACTTAGTAAGGAAGCCCTTAGACGATTCGGTCTTTACGGAAATGACTCCAAAAAGTGTCGGCAAGATGGAGGAGCAGAAGATGCCGAGATGGGAAATTGCTTGTATAAGCTTGGTGTTAAGACTGGGAATTCGTTGGATGTTATGAATAGAACTCGCTTCCATTGTTTCAATCCTGAAACTCATTTATTTGGTGGCTTTCCTAACTGGTATCTGAAATATGATAATGATGGCGCAAAGCACGTAAGTAACAGTTGATCAATTTCCATTTTTTTTGTTTTTTTTTTGTCTTTGTCTTCTGTCTGTCTTATCGCCCTTTGCTTCTGTTACAGTGCTATGACAAATGCCAATTAATTTTTTTTAATATAAAGATATGCCGTAAATGACCAAAGTTACGCCAGCTCTCTGCAACATATCACGGTAATGAATGACAGACTTTTTTGACCGGAACTATTATTGTCATTATTGTCATGTTATCACGTTATTCTGCTAATTTAAATATTAGAGGCTGTTCGTTCAGGACTACAGGTGCGTGTAAAATAAAATCAATGGAAACAAATATTCGAATGATGTTGATGAAAGATTCTTGCGAATATGATTTTTTGACTTTTGCGGTGAATTCGCCCAAAAATTTGACCTGGATAGTAAATATTTTCATGTCGGTCACCCGTCGGTTGTGATGATTTTGAATTGAAAGTTGGGCCTTTTTATACCCCATTGACACCTCCCTAGGGCGAATGCCGTTATATTCGCAATATTTGTCTAAATATTGGCAAGATATTTGCAACACATTCTTAATGGCACGTTCGTAATCATTGGTAAACGTCTTCACAACATTCTCTGAAATTTAATAAGCGCTTCCTTAAATATCGATTTTCATAAAGAGATAGAGAGTGACTTGAGAACATTCCGAATTTGTTACCGACGCTTACGAAGACACGTCGAATGTTGCGAAGAATGAGCGATTGTCAAATATTTCCATTCGTAAGCATATTCGCTAGTATATTCACCACAGTGTCAGACCAGCATAAGTGATAGATTTATCTCCCAAAGTCTCTTAATTTAAGGACTATATTGAAGTCGCATATTACTTCCACTTGATAAATCACCGTTAAATACCGGAAGTACAGAGTGCCCCCCTAAGGAGCCACGACGGAATTCTCTATACATTACCGAGTCAGATTCAACTTTACGGAAACTGCCGAGAAATGCCGAATAGTAAAAGATATCTTTAAGTGTATATGGTTGTTAAGCATTTAATTGAAAAAAATTTAAATATTTTCAAATATATTCAAAATTTTGGAAATGAATGACGTCAAAACTGTAAATTATATCAAAATATTAAGAACAGAATTTTTTTAACAAATAAAATGTCCAGCGACTTATAGTGAGTTCAGACGACAAAAGTTAAGGCAGCTTAAACCATTCTTCGAGCCTTCGCCATTTAACTCGGAAGTTCAGGGGTCATTATACCATTACGCATGCGCATTATGATATATGTCATAAGAACGGGAATTTGTTCAGATGAATGCGCAAGCGCATATCCGCCTGATTGTTGGCCTGTAGCGTTGAGGCAGGAAAACTAAGCTGGATTAACTTTCCAAGTCAGGTTTAAAGCCACACCTTAAGTAGGTGCAAGTTGAAGAAGTCCGATCAATTCTGATCATGATTTAAGCCGTAATTTGGAAAAAACGTAAACAATGTACATCGCCCTACGTCAGATGGTTGGAAAAAATGCATAAATTACATTTATTCTTTATAGTTTCACAGGTTTGAAAGTTGCCTGTTTTCGAACCCCTGTAAAACCGGAAGTAAATGTAGATTATCAAAGATCAAAGTATGAATGGGATTCTAGACCGATGACCTTTGACCTGTAATTTAAGTTTAAGGTCAGAAAAGGTCAGGTAAAAATTTGAAAATTATAAAAACCATTCCTTTTTTTTAAAGTAAAACGAACAAACAAATGTAGATTCATAACAAATTGCCCAAAGAAATGGATTATTTTCATTTCAAGTCTTCTTCTTGATCAAACTGAATATGTTTTAAAAGGGTTAATTATAAATGGAGAGTACTAATTGTTAATTAATTGGTTTGACCTAGTTTTGGTGTTTGGATTTATAATGGCTCGATATTATTGGTTGAAATCTTCAGAATACGTAAGAGATATATTTCTCTATAATTAGGCGTTTCTTTTACTCAAATCTGTGCAGTAGTTTTCTAACAGCTTTCAAAACGCATAACGAAATTAAGTAATGTTAATAAAAGTTTCAAAATTCTGCTCAAAAATGTGTGTTATGAATTTTAAAAACTCAACATTTTTTAACTTCTATCATATTTGATATTCTTGCTTTATTCCAAAAATGAAAGCCTTTTAGACGCAATATGCAATTACCTACTTTTTGCACATTTTGCACTGTGCAACTATCCGTTTTTCAAAAATGTTCCAATTTATATTGATGCAGTAATTCACCACAGAGGTAGGTCATATGCAATGCAAAGGTTGCAGCAACTATTACAGTTTCTGTAGAGGACGCAACACAAAAGCAGTGATAGAATAGAACACACTGCAAAAGTAAAGAAGAATTTTTTTTAACTAAATTACGTAAGATTAGAATCTCAGAATTGTTTGTATATTTCATAATTTGCTTTTCAATTTCAGGGAACAGAAAATATTAGCGACTATGCAATTTCGTTTCACTACATATCGCCGGAGAAAATGTACAGTTTAGAATTTTACATTTATCATTTAAGACCTTACGGTTTGGTGTCGAAACCACAAAACCTAAATAACAAAGCGATTGCGTTACCACCCGTGAATACCTGATCTTATTTGTGGATATTTCCATTGTTGATGTGGATATATTATCGGACAGTGCAGAAAGATAAACAAGGCAACACAGGTTATAATAATTTCACGTGAACAAGCCCGGAAACTAGATGGTGGACAGCAGTAAATTAGTTTTTTTTATTGTAGTTTAATTGTGTTTAGAAATAGAAGAACGCGAAGAACACCAATCATTTAATCACATACTTATAAATGGCGCTTTCCTTACATCAGAATCGTGGACATTTGGATTTTCTGACGGGTTGTCGACAGTCCAACATGCAGTGTACTTTGCATTACAGAACTACTTGTGATATACTTCCTACCTAAGTTTTAGTTATTTCTATTGCACTGATATGACGGTAAACTACCAAACTCTTATTATAGAGAACAATACAGGCATGTCTGTCTCTGTGTTAGTAACCATACCATTCTTTTTTATGACCCATTTCACATACCACCATTGTTGTGATATTGATCAAAACCTTAGACTAATATCAAATCTCAGTTGTTGGTGGTTCGATTGTAAGGAAACAAGAAAATACTCTCAGATAGTAACAACAGATCTAGCCTTGAGAATGCATGAAATTTGAACTTTGAAGGAGTGGAGTTGTATTTTCTTTTTATTAATATGCACGTCACCAAACATTGATATTTTTGTGGGAATATTTCTTGTTATAAATAAATTTGAAAAAAAAACAACCGTTTATTTTCACAATATTGTTGGACGTCAATCAACCGACCACAATTCTTTAGTTATTAACAAGTTAACTACTGATATTCACTAATGATTATTGGCTTCTACGTTTGTATCTCTCACTCGTCATATAAAGGTTCTTGCTTTCTATTCTATTCTGATAATTGTACAAAAAACATTCTTTATATTATCGATATTCACCATAACTATTAATGAGTTAGGTTTCCTACCAGTTGATGAGGTAGAGAATGACATACCTTCGTGGGTGAACCCCTTCGTGACAGCACCCTAGGTGAGCCTGGTTTGGATTCTCTGCTGTCATACTTTGACAACACATATATGATTAGGTCACTAAAATCTCTTGTTAAAGGGACATGTTCGCCTTTCGTATGACCAAGTTTATTTTTAGACACAATGGAATCTTTTAGCTAACTAATCAGTAATAATGTTCACAGATCACCGACGAAATTGTAGTCTTCAAATTCATGTGTGTCCAGAAAATCCGCATTTGAATGATTAAATGATTATTGAGTCATATATAGCAAAAAGAAAGTGGAATGCCTTGTTTGAGGTATTTTGAAGGAAATATGCGATTTGTGTACATTTCTTTTACTTCTGAAGACTATTTACATATATTCAAGACCCAAATCGAACCCCAAATATGTCCCTTTAAAAGAATAATTAAACATATATGTAAATTTGTGGTGAGCAATAATTGTCCGGTGAGCAACTGTTCGTATGCCGTCAATTTGCTCTTTTCTCTCATTTGAAAACTAAGACGAAGAAGATTCCTTTAGCAAGGTGTACATAAACGATTAAGTTCATTTAATTCCAGTGGCATTTACAGTTTGTACATGTAAATCAAATAAAACAAGATATATAGATATAAGGCAAAAATATACAAACATATTTTAGAATATAAAATCAATCCATAAATACCAAAATATACAATATATGACACTTGAGACAGAATAAATTTGATAAACAATTCGAAAATAAGAGTGAGTTGTAACGCTTGAATATTTGAAATTCGTACAACCAAAATAGTAAAACATTGCAGCCGCTAGATTTAAGTCAGCAAACATTGGGGAATCTTGGTTAATCCTGTTGATCGCATTTGTTAGCTGGTTAATATTTTGTTATGAACTTGACGGAAGTTTCAACTCACTCGTAACACAGACTTCTAATATAGAACTGCGTGGATTTTGTATATTGTATTATGTAAAATGCGTCATGCTGATAAGATACTCGACTAAAAAATCATGATAAACAATAAAAATACTGGCTGAGATATACACCTTGGTTATTGACCAGAATTAGTTTTTGAGCGAAAACCTTTCTTGCAAATGGACCCAGTTTTACATATTGAAATTAAGACATAGTAGGCCTACCATGCTAAAATATTATGCGATAATTAGCATTTATACAGACAACCTGGGTTAAATACATCAGTGAGAGAACGCGTATTTAAATATCATGAAAAATAATTGAAGGCTAATAATATATTATACATAAAAAATGTAATTAGGACACTCAGTGTCTACGTTTCTCATCACTTTAAAGGAATAAATGCTGCTAATTAGTAGTTCAATAAGCTCAAAATAAACTTAATTATACAACAAATTTACGTATATCTATCCCTTTAACCATGAATGTGATATATAATTAAGTCACGTGACTGTTTCTTCAACACTGTAGTTGTGCAAAGATAATTATGCACATTCGGGTCATACCGTAATAAATATTAGTTATTCTACCTCAAACCCAAATGTGCATAATTATCTATCCGCGACTATTGCTGGACTATAGAATGCTATATCTAAAATATTAATACAAAAATATATATAGTGATTTCACTATTCTATTTCAAAGCGAATAAACAATAATTTTAATAACTATTCCTTTTCAATCGACTCGAAATAACAAAAGAAAACTAGCTCAAAGCCGAATAAATAAATATATGAGTATAACACATAATGATATCACAGAAATGCTTTAACTTTTTTCGGTTCTTAAAATTTCTAACAGCTTAAAAAACGAGGACCCACTCTACTAAAGTTTTTGTCACCAACACTGAAACGTAACCTTAAATGGTAAGCACCTATTGTCGCTCGTTCTGTTCATGTTATTTTCCGCTGAGGATGCAAATACGAAATACAATACTATACACGAATACTTCATAAAAAATGACTAGTCTTTATTGAGCACGAATTGGACATGGAAGTTCATCAATACAATCATACTATCCCTACTCAAGGTTCTCACTCATGGGTGTGTGCGATTTGAACTGAACATTCCTATTTCCAAACATTCAAACACACCAAACATACACCCTTAAACTTTCACACTGATAATTTATAATCCTAAGTTGAGACGTCTCTTGACCAACTTTGGTCTTTTCTTCTTGTTTTGAAAATTAGCCATTTTTCGTATCTGGACATCCCAGGTACTTTTGACTGTGAATTCCAGAGCCGATTCGGCCTCTTTTAGTTGTGTAAATAAACAATAAAGAGTCGCTACTTTCTCTACTTGGCTTCTGTCTTTTAAACTGAAACTTTTTTCAGACTGTTTCTTCAAAATGTTTATGTGGAAATACTGTTTTATCTGAAAAAAAAAGGTTTTAAGGTAATATGTTATCTTTGGTTATATCAAACATCTGTAAATGTGTTTGGTTATATGAAAATCCTAATATGACTCCAAAGCAAATTATATTTGGATATATATCAGTTCACCAAAGAGGCTGGACAGAATTGTCTTGTACATTTTGTATGTTGTGTGTGTTATAACAAAGTAGCGAGTGACTCATGGGAAATATTCACCACTTCACCAAGACCTCCCTCAGTGAAGTCGGATTCTAGATAGGTGTAATGCTATTTTCTTCTTACCTTGAAGGTTATGGATTTTATCAAACTGTTCAAGTTAGAGCTTAGTGAATTCAACTGACGGCAGATTTTATCTTGACAATTTTCCGTAGATTTACTGTATTCATCAGCCAATAGCTGGACTAATCTATTATAGTCATTTAAATTTACAATAGTATTTTTTATTAACGCCTGAAATGAAAGGTATTTGTGAGAGAATAAGAAAAAAATAGGCCTTGTGTTGATCCAAGGCGTTATCAAATGTCTTAACACCAGTCCGATATTGTTAACTGTGCAGTTTACATCCATCCATGAGGAAAGAGCGAATATTTGCTCTGTTCATAATGCAACGCAGAAGCTTATTCTATGTAATGATATTGTATACACGTGGGTACGGAGCCCCTAAGGCGCAATTGTAAACATATTTATTTATTATTTCGTTTAAACGAAATATTATTTCGGTCGGTTTATAAATGTTTTTATTTCGTTTAAACGCAATAATAAATAAATATGTTTACAATTGCGCCTTAGGGGCTCCGTACGTGGGCCTAAACTGATATATTTAAATAGACATTCCGCTTTTTTTGTAGGTTTTGAAAGTTCTTTTTTGCTCTGGTTTGTGAAAACTATACACCAACATCTGAAGAAACTTAAAAGAATCCAACCGGAAACTTTTAAACGCCAAAACTATTCAAAAACGTTACGTAAGGTTTTTAAGTTCTTTTGCTTTTTGGAATATGTGAGAAAGCTAGTGCAAGAGTTTAATTAAAATAAACGCCTAATTATAAAGAAATATGCCCCCTACATATTCTAAAGGTTTCAACTAATAATATCGAGCCATTATAAAGCACCAAACACCAAAACTAGATCAGCTGCTTAATTAACGATTAGTACACTCAGTTTTTAATCAACCCTTTTAAAACAAATTTAGTTGGATTAAGAAGATACATAGATATATATAGCATACTTTAGAAATATTTTAAGGTATAATTTACGACGTTTTTATTAATGTAAACTTTCTACAAAAAGCGGAATAGCCCTTTTAAACGGAAAAGCTGTCATCTTCCTATCTCACTCACACACTAAGCCTTAAATGACATGGTTTGGTTGTAGAGAGCGTGGTGGCAAACTTTACTCCAATATATACCAAGTATGAGATTTAATTTGGAAAGGGTGCGAAACTTATTCTATTTACAAACACGTGAAAATAAACTGAAATGTTAACATTGCTAATACTGTTATCTGGTATTTATAATTTACACTTACCTTCATAAATTTGTTCGGATTTTTTATATGTCTGTCAGAAGTTACTGCTGTTACCGGACATGACAATTTTGATGATAATGTTTGAATGTACTCATCACACGATTGTTTACTTGGAATGGAATCAAGGATTTCGTCTGTTTCACACTGAAAAGTTCAATTATAACTTTTAGAATTTCGGAACCCTTCGATTGAATGTGTTCGCAAAGCGTTAAGGACAAGAAGTGACTGGTCATTCACTGTTTCTGAATATTGAAATTACATGTATCTTATAATTTAAAAAACATGGACGTATATTTCATAATATTCCATATTTTTTTGTAGAAAGCACATCAAACAACATCAAATTACATATATGCATTTCATAAATAGTATTCATTTTTCGTTCCTCTTTCAGAGCATGACAATTCAAAAAAAGGGGAAAGAACTCTTTAGCGAGTAGTGTACCAGGACTATACCGGCTTTACATAGGAAGTCAACAAAATATGCAGTGTTCAATGTTTCTTGGAGTTCATCGATATTTTAACTTAATTTTCTGATTTTGGAACCAACTGGAAATATAATAGATGCTGTATAACCAGATTTCAAAATAGTAAAATATGAAGTAAACTTACAAATGATTCTATAGTCAATGATGATAATTTCTGTAAGGCTTGAGTCTGTGGTATAGACTGCTTGTCTACAGTTTTCCAGAATTGGTAAAAACTATCAATTTGTATTGGACGACTGTATGTAACTTGGATGTATGTACACATTAATAAAACAATGTCTCTAAACTGGCCTTTCATATTTCTCTCTATCTGAAATTAGAAATGAAATGGATTAAAATTTAGTTTACGTTCTATTTTACTACACCCCTATTGGACTGTCTTCGGCATCGAAATAAGCTTGCTGATTTCCAACTGTTGACGTATCATAACATGCAGACTGAACCTTAGTCTTATTGTCCAATCCCAACTATAAGGCGCTTATTTAATTCCAGCCGGGATATAAGATTCAAGTACTATAATAGCACTTCGTTAATAAATTGAGTTGGTTTTTATATATCAAACCAACTACCAATCATACATTTGCTATTAGCAAACAGATATAAGTTAATCCAATTTACAACTGATCTACGATCAGTTCAACGTGATGTATTAATGGGTAACTATTATGAGCGCCGAAGTTACTATTTGTATGAAGCTATCGAACACACTCGAAGATAAACTAATAGCGATACATTAAAAGCCAAGCGATAACGTTTGTAGCAATTCATACCAAAAGAATTGAAAATCTTTTCAAAGCCTTAAACATTAAATGACCATCTTATGAATCCATGTATTAGATAGCAAATATTTAACAACTTAGTTATATGAGTAAATATCTATTCATTTTATCTTCGATACATTTCCGGTGTTTACAGTGAGTAATACTCATCCTTCCAACGGGGGAAGTAAGGTTTAAATTTATCTACCAAATTACCCAAGTCATATGATTAAGTGATGAAATTGCCTTTCCTTTTTTGCAGTTAGAAATTCCCATTCCCATTTTATTTCATACTGGTGTGACAATTTGGGTAAAATACACTTCTACATAATAGGTTTTTTTTATTACCTCGTCTTAAAAGTAAAATATAAAATAGTCAACGTAACATAAAAACCTATTCAAATCTGACTACATGCGTGGTATTTACAAACAAACTCACCTAAATTTTGCACCTCAAGACCAGCGAAATAATTGACCTATTTCATACGTACTAATATCAAGTAACAACCAGTCTTCGACCCAACTGTATATTAAACAAAAGTTAATTCACGATGAAAAGCGACGTGTCGGAGAGTCAGATAATTGTCTAAACAACCTTTCTCAATTCTAAATACTGATTCAAATTGGTATATTCTCAATTAATGATGAATGACATTCATAATAGAACCACATATTTCTATGAATGATACGGAATCATCTGATATCGGGGAAATACATCCGGATTTCCGTTATTGTTCGTCATCTATTAAAAAATGTTGAGGTTTGTGAAAATGATTAACCCTATTACTGAACATTACTTAAAGGTTGACCATAGTAAATTCCCGAATTAATGTGGTTATTGTTAAAGCTTGTTGAAACTTTATGATACCCCTATAGGTAAATGTATAGTACTAGATAGTACCACAGCTCTTATATCTCTAAATGTCATTTTAATCTGATGCAGACTATTAAATCGTTTACATAATGTTTATCATATGTTGTACTCTTTAAAGATTAAATAGATTTAAAATATACAGGCAGCTGTTGGCCTTGACGTGCCTTCACAATTATGAGATGAGGTCAACGGGAAAATCTCTAGACTAATAGACAAGTGTACGTCGAAGTATGTTGTTGCGTAAATATATATATTATGTATTATATACGAGGTATTCGATCATACATGGATGCAAGGTAATAAGGGATATCAACATTAAAATCAAACTTATATATACTCTACTTTAGATCACACTCAACATCCCACATCAATAAACGTACCCACATATTTCTTTCTTGAGTCATTTCTGAGAGCATGAAAAGAAGACTGTTGGAATCAGTGTGAGTTAGACGTTCAAGGCTATATCAAAATATATCTGTAGGCAATCGGCCTCGTTTTTCCAAGTAAGAAGCATTTTCCTTTTCCGAAATCAGCGCCTGTAACCTGCATCATGACAGTGGAGTCCGGTTTGGAACATCTGACTGCAGTCTCGCGACCTGGATCCAATCTTGCACAGATTAGCGTGTCTGGCCATACATAAACTGTCTGGCCACGGAGAATCCTTTAAAAGCAATATCAAAGTTTTCAATTAATATTTTCTCCAAACTAAGGCTCCTAAGGTTCCTAAAAAAATATACCACAAAAAAAAACACGAATGTATTAAAATCTAATAATTATATTATTTCAATAACTCTCACCTCGGAACCTTTCCTATCCTATAAAATTTTTAAGAGTATAATACACGGAAATCAAGGAAGATTCGGTTTATGTTAGAAATGAACAATGGCACCCATCTTTCGAAATTCCTGATTTATAATGGACATTGACCGTAACACGAGAAGTGTATTTACTACACAGATCTACAGATTCCAGTATGTTGCCGAGGCATGTCAAACTCGATCGTTTACTAACATAGCTTGAACTTTTAGAGATGTTTTTTTTCTTCATAAATCTAAACCTTTTGAATTTTGAAGACACTAGAAACAAGAGTGAAATTAACTGTTGGCTCGTATTGTTGTGTTCCTAATACATACTATAATCATATAGATTACAATGATGGAACTATAGCAATGGAGGTCTTGTTTGTAGAATGGCTGCTCGGTTTTAAATTTGCATCCAATAGGCGAAAGTTAACGCTTGCGATGCCATGAAGTTGATTGGCATGAAAATGATATAGTAACTTAATTTATTCTTTCTTTGTTCCGTCAAAATTCGTCAAGAATTGTGTTTACGTACAATTGTGGACAGACCGACGGATATGAGTGACGCCAATATATAAACCATTTCATGTGGGCGTATAAAAGGGTTGATAAGTTATGCTTCGTTCATCGTCTGCATTACTATATCAATATGCAGCAGAAACTTATGCGAATAATTTGTTCCATTTAACCTACAAGCTTGTTTGTGGCAAAAACCGAATCTTTATAGAAACCATCTAACAGCGTGGTTGGTCTAGAAACTCATAACTCACGATAAACAAATATAAAGATATGAACACTTGAATTCTAATGGTTATAGCCCCGTAGCACCGGCTGTGACCATGTTAAATGAAAATCAAAAGAAATATATTTTTTGTACAAAAATTAGAAATAAGCGCCTCTTTAAATAAATTTCGAATGAAAACCTGGATCGATTTCAAACAGTCACTATTTTCACTATCCCTATTGATAAATATTGGCATCTGACTTTATAATATACCCCGATAATTGAACCAATATTTACGAGTTGTTTGAATGAGAAACACACTTGATTCTCTTCAAATTCCAATCAAACAACATGAAAGAAGAACGAAACCATACACCTGGGGTAAAATCAGGTGTTTGTGTTGTAGTGAATGAATGATGAGACTCGTTAGAATGAATAAACAAATCCATGCATGTCCAGGTTTACGGAATTAATTAGTTAAAAATGTATGGTTAGGTAAATGATTAATGAAAGTATCAATGGTTTGGTTAACTTTAATGCATTATTGCTGGTTAAGTTAGTAATTAATGAAAGTATGTATGGTTTGGTTAACTTTAATGCACTATCGCTGGTTAGGTTAATAATTAATGAAAGTATCAATTGTTGGTTAACTTTAATGGATTATATCGCTGGTTAGGTAAATGATTAATGAAAATATCAATGCTAAGGTTAACTTTAATGCATTATCGCTGGTTAGGTTAATAATTAATGAAAGTATCTATGGTTTGGTTAACTTTAATGTATTATCTCTGGTTAGGTTAATAATTAATGAAAGTATCCACGGTTTGGTTAAGCTTAATGCATTATCGCTGGTTAGCTTAATAATTAATGAAAGTATCTATGGTTTGGTTAACTTTAATTCATTATCGCTGGTTAGGTTAATAATTAATGAAAGTATCCATGGTTTGGTTAACTTTAATGGATAATATCACTGGTTAGGTAAATGATTAATGAAAGTATCAATGCTAAGGTTAACTTTAATGGATTATATCGCTGGTTAGGTTAATAATTAATGAAAGTATCAATGGTAAGGTTAACTTTAATGGATTATACCGCTGGTTAGGCAAATGATTAATGAAAGTATCAATGCTAAGGTTAACTTAAATGGATTATATCGCTGGTAAGTGTAATGATTAATGAAAGTATCAATGCTAAGGTTAACTTTAATGGATTATGTCGCTGGTTAGGTAAATGATTAATGAAAGTATCAATGCTAAGGTTAACTTTAATGGATTATGTCGCTGGTTAGGTAAATGATTAATGAAAGTATCAATGCTAAGGTTAACTTTAATGGATTATGTCGCTGGTTAGGTAAATGATTAATGAAAGTATCAATGCTAAGGTTAACTTTAATGGATTATGTCGCTGGTTAGGTAAATGATTAATGAAAGTATCAATGCTAAGGTTAACTTTAATTATATCGGTAGATAATTAATGAAAGTATCAATGCTTGGTTCAAAGGTTACCTTAATGAAAACCAACAAAGAGCTGTTTAGATTTCAATGTAACGTAACCGAAAGTAAATGTATCATAGTTTGGATTGCAAGAATAAATGGGTGGGTTAATAAGGGTAAATAGTAAGGATAACAAGAATGTATCATGGTTAGGTTTCAAGAATAAATGGATAAGTAGGTTAATGAGTGTAAATTGATAAATGGTAAGGTAAACAAGAATGAACGTGCTTTTATCGCTGCAAAGTTTTTTTGTCTGAAATAAAATAATTTACGTTCGATTTGTATTGATCTCTAAAAAATGTTTGCTTACAAACGACAAGTGTTAAAATTCGGACCACCATAATTATATAGGATCCTAATGCTTGAAATTAAACAAAAATATCTCGACATCTGAAATAGAAGTATACTTACATATAGATGTAGGTAGATCACCAATGCTGCTTGATAGGTATGACTAGATACTTCAAATGCTGTTTATAATTTGGCACTATTAAGAATTTATGATAAACACGACAGAATTTATTCTAGAAACGATTCAGTTTACAAGGATACTGAAATCTTTAGAAATAAACCTATTTATATACTTAGCATCCGTCTATTTTTAGAATATTCGTAAATTTTCAATGGAAGTGTTTGATTTCGGGGGAATTATAAAGGTAATTTTTAGTAACATAACTGAAGTGTCCTAGTGAGAAAACTGGGAGTAAATGGCCAATCAAAAGAAAGATGACGATGCGTGCTTCAAACCGGAGGTGCTCGATGGATATAAACTCAAGACGGTACATGTCATGTTCTGGGTTTCTTGAAATATTGCCATTAAATGATTAAAGTAGCATATTTTTGAAATAGTATGTATTGTATTAAGGACAATGATGCTTATTATGTACGATGTCGCTCGTAGTCCTCGAGTCTGTTAGTTGACAAATTTCGACAATATTTCCCAGCTTGCCGTTGACGTTAGCCAATTTACAAAGCTGAATCTACACAAAATACGACACGATATAAAAATTATATTATACTGATGAATTATAAAACGGCTTCTTCAACCCTATAGTTATCTTAAACTGTAAAACTGGCGGGCGAAAAAGGGCAATTTGAATTACAGTTTCGATTGCCTTTATGTTAGTCATTTGGTTCTCTATGATGGAATGGGTGTAATATTCATCCTAGCATCCTTTCAACTTATTAGCTTTTCGAGGCAAGGCCACATCTGTGTGTAACTAACATGTTTCTAGAAACTAAACCATCTAGTATCTTTCAGCGTTGCCCTTTTGAATGAATAAATGGAGATGATAGGACGATCGGCAAATTGTATTAAAAAAATTAAGCAGGCAAAATTGTAACTGTAAAATATGATTGGAATTTAAAGGTTAGGACGTTTTTTCCTCTGATATAATAGAGGATGGACTGAATCTGTTTTTACTTCCGGTTATATGACAGGAAGAGGGTGTTATTTTGCAGGTCATATAACACAATATGTATAAATGACATTCTAGATAGATGAGGATTTTTTATCATCTGATTTCTTGTGTTGATTAATTGCCCGTTGTCTATCGCATAGATGTAAATTGGAATATCAGCTCACAGAACATTAATCATGACTGCGAATGGCTCTGCATTGATAAAAATGAACACAAAGGCACATAATTATACGTAATATGTTTTTTCAGTTTTACGTTAAACGTAGTATTACCTTAAGTCATTCTAAGACCTAAGACTATCAATACAATTTTGAAGCTGTTACTTGAACTTACATTGATAAAGTAGGAAAATGGATGTACCACCAATAATACATCAATCATACCATGATAAGTTCATTGATAAGTAGTGCTTACCTTATGAAAGTGTTATGATATAATATAAGAACTAGAAGACGAGTTTTCATTATTAAAAGTAATACATGTATCTGGATTTAGATGTATCGTGTGGTGAAACATATACATGTAGTAAGAAATAGTAAAATTATGATCTTACATGAAACAGCCTGAAGATGATGTTTTTTTTTTCAAAAAAAAAAAAGTGCAATAAGCGAATCAGCATTGAAGCTTGATATTCTAAAATAGCCATTGATAAAGATGTGATCAACACCTCTCTTTAAAGCTATTTCACATGAGTGGACATTTGTCTTCTACAGGCCTATTAGTAAAGTTTATGTTATATTCTCTAAATATATTTCAGGATGTTGCGTTATAATGACATGTCCGATAAATTGTTATTGTTGTGTACGGAATTCTCCACTTTCTAATTCTCGGTGATTTCTTAATTTTCCTCTAACTAAAGACTCAAGCTACAAATATGTTTTTAATTGAAATGTCCAATAATGCCCAATGGCCGGATTTGATTGTTCGGAGGACCAAGTCATATATATGGAGGGACAATGGTTTTATTGTTTAGTTGCAGTAATGGAATTGGTCAGTTGTATCAAGAGTTTGGGGGTGGGACGGATGTGTGTGTGTTGAGGGGGGCTGGGAGGGAGGCTGTTAGGGGGTGGGATGGCATTCAATCCCCCCTAAAACTCCCCCTGTACCCAGCTAGCAGTCACAGTTATATGAACGTTAGTTCTAACGTTGAAAAAACGTTATTTTACACTAACATATTACGTTCATAAAACGTTCAGTTGAAACGTTCATTGGAGGTTGCAATAATGTTTAGCTAACGTTTCTTTGTCCATATCACAATGAGTATTTACATTACATGATATTCACTCAAAGTTAGCTAAATATTGATTTACTCTTCGTTGAACGTTACATGAACGTTTAAATAAAATATTTTTAAACGAAAATTAAATCAATTTTAGAGGTGTATGTTATTTTCATGTAAGAACCATGTGTGGTTTCGTATAGGACTGATCATCAGATCCTTGATCATCACAGGAGCACAGGAAGTGAACAAGCAACATTCTTTAAAAACAATAACAATTTATTGAGAAACATGATCGATATGAGTGATATAATGAGTGAGTGCTGGGTGTCATTTTGTGGAACATCATCTTAAACACCTTTCCACTTCCTGTTAACATGCTTCATCCATTCCCCATTTACAGGAATTATAAAGGCGTCAGTAATTGTGGATTCACCAATATTCTTTCGAATGGTCCCTTTATTATTTATACATTACAAGAACAAAAGTCAATAGAACATGATTATCTGGAATTCCTCCGACAGTTGACAGTTGATAGTATCAACACATTGAATTGCAAAATCCTTTCAATTTCAGAGATTCGTCAGCGGCTTCGACAAGTTTCAATTTGCAGCTCTTAATACGCATCTCTGCCTACTGTCTACCTTGAGATAGGCTTAAATTACTGAGCCATATCTCTTCCTTCTGAATGTAAGAGCTTGTCACAACGTGGTAAGCCTAACAGTTGTGAACTTTGCCCCTATTTGCATAATTGTATGACAGTGCATCATGTAGGTACGTACAATTCACAGGCGCGTGGTGGGCCTACATGAAAAACGAAATGCAGGCAAATAAATATAAAATCTTGATGCCTGTTGTGTTAGTGATTGAATGGAAAGTGCATAGTTTGGGGCTTTAAAAAAAAATTAATTTTAAGCCAACATTATCGATGATGTGTCTAAATACATGGCCACTTACTTTTCTCAATCCCTTTTCAAACAAAGTAAAAAGGACCACAAATTAGTTCTTTCACATTGCAATAATAGCGTAAATTGGCTAAGATAGACTCAACTTCAGAGCTCAGACAGAGCAATTCAGAAAATGGCACCATGATTAGAATCCTGACACTCTTGTCATACCTAAAGGCGTTGAGGCCACATGGCTTGGTCGCTGAAAACCATCGTGTTCCCCACTCGTCAAACTTACCCAAAACCGTGGTAATACAAGTAGAGAAAGTTCTTATTTATTGATAAATATTGTCCAATCAAAATTGGCCCTGCTGTCTTACCAGTAAAATTTCAGCTAATCAGAACAAATTACTCGTTAATGACTCTATGATTTCGAACGTAAACAAAACGAGTAGCGTGTCATTAACTGTTTTGATTCATATGTACGGTACAGAATTAAGTAAGATTTTCAGTAAAGACTTGAAGCCGAGAGAAAATCAAATCTTACTTCGGAATCTTTACATGGAAAGTAACGGGCAGCGTGCAAAGCGAGGTTGTGTTTTGCTCACATGACCTCATTTCCTTTCTACCGATCTGATTTAAATGCCACCAATCTCATTTCCACTCCAACAAAACGAATTGTAGTGATATTGAATAAGTCCTCTTTTGAAAGTCTAATAATAATGTATATGTACAGATAATCTGGAAAGATCAATGCCAAGAAGTTCCACCAAAGAAACATCTGATAGACAGACAACCAAAATTGTTCTTTTCATAGGCAACATAAAACCGTGACGTGGCCTAAGCAAAATAGCTATCCCAACATATTGACATATAATTAAAGAAGAGGCGTTTTTGGTTGTATAAAATCCAGCCAGACTAGATGGACAAATATTTATTGACCAATTAATAAATGAGTCATCTTTTTGTTGCACACAATCATGGACATTCTCAGACACGCCTGAATCTATAATCTCGATGAGAATGAAGTACTGGTGAAACTAAATATTTAGTACTGGTGAAACTAAGTACTTGACGGTGGCAGATTTTAGTTCACTAAAATCTGATTGGTTACGTTATTGGGAAATGCCATTGTTAATTGGTTGTGATTGGTTAGTTAAGATGAAGTCTACCAGCATTTTTCGAGGAAGATAAAATTCCCATAATGTCAGATTGACACATTCTGTGGAATATCATCTGTAGTAGCCCGAAAACTCTAGTCCTCCCAGTTCCGTAAAGCTGAAAGGCGCCATATTTGATTGATTTGGGTCTTGATGATTGGCTCCCACGTGACTTACTATTATTCTCTTTCTTACTACTTTCTTGTCTGCTTGCGCAAGTTCATATTCATGTTCTTAGTTTCTATGTATCGCCATAAGTTTTTACTTACTCCTTTTAGATTAAAACTGTTTATTCAAGAATTTCTTCTATATATTATGGAGTTCAGTATGTCTGTTTTCCAATACGACCAACTCAAGTTCAAGATCCCCGGCAGTAACACCCCAACATATTGACGATATCACATCTTATATCACATCTGAGAAATCGGGCTACGGCTGCTGTAGCTAACATTACTTGTGAAGATAAACACTGTAATTATATAGGGGTATTCATAGATTAAAAGTAAGCTGGGTGTAGTTTTTGAGAGAGGGAGCAGAGGCAACTTCTTGATTCCGCCAATGTCATAAAAATAGAAAATAATCACTACATATTTATTCATTGAGACAACCTTTATTGTATTTTTAAAGTAAGATTAAGCAAGGTGTTTCTTGAAAAATTCCACTGATCTGTTTAGTGCTTTCTCTGCTTCTTCTTTGATGAAGTTCGCACTTGTCGGGTTCGCAAACGCGTGGTCTGCTGGGTAACTAAAGAATTCATATTTTACTCCACCGGCATCTAATTTTTCCTTCAACTTGTCTTGGTCAGCTTTCGACGAAAAACCGGGAACCGAATCTTTATCGCCAAAATGGCACTGCAGTGGAATTTTTATCTTTGAGACATCAGCAAGATCAGCAGCACAAATTCCATAAAATGGGGCTGCGGCACTGATTTCAGGAACAAGAACAGCTGAAGCTAGGGACAGGGCTCCACCCATGCAGAAGCCAATCACCCCAACCTTGGAACAGCCATTTTGAATCAAGTGTCCAGCACATCCTTGAATATCCAGAACCGCTCCTTGCCAATCTAGGCCAGACATAAGATGACCAGCGTGTTCGTGGTCTGTAGCAATTTCACCACGGTATAAATCAGGAACAATTGTAGTAACGTTGCCTCTTTTAGAGATGTCCAATGCCATGTCTTGTATTTGTTGATTCATACCCCACCATTCTTGAATAACCACAATTCCCATTGGATATGTTTTCGGGTCATTAAACTGTACGGATGGGATAGCACCTTTTTTATTGGCTGAAGCGACAGATATTTTGGACATGGTTGATATTCTGAAAAACGACAAAATTGATTATACGGTATTTGTATGTTGTTTATGTAAAGCATGTGGTTCTATGTTACAAAGAAACAGTATATCTCGGCAGAATAAACATTTTTTCAACAATGGTGCATCAAATAACCGTAATCCTACCAATAGTGGTCTGAAAAGCATATAAAGTATCTAGTGCTCTCCCTTGGCATGTTATGAAAGCGGCCACAATAATATACACGTTATTTTACTAAAAATGAATTTTTGTTCTTTGTTTGAATGTATAGTTCAGTTTGGCGTATATCTTTCACGTAAATATTGCAGTAAAAGTTTCAAAAGCTGTCGGCTGTTTTTAATGCATGCCATGATTTCCAGGTCTTTGCATCACTAAAACGTGACCATTTCATACAAGTTGAAGGTCGCTCGATATAAAATAGATAGTAAACATGGCTATATATCTTTACTAAGGAAAAGTGGCTATAATTAATAGACTGAAGTTTTGTTTGTTGTCGTAGTAGTAAAAGTTTATTTACCTTTGTAAACAGTGAATATTCTTACACTGTCGAAGTAAATGTGACCATTGTACTTAACCCGAGCTTGTTGATTGGCTGTAGATATCATATTTGATACCGGTAGTTGTATTTGCTGAGTTTTTTTTATTTCGCGGGTATTACAAAACTAATCGTGTACTGTGATAGAATGTAGCCTTCCTAAATAAGTTATTCTCAATCAGTTCTCTGGCTTTAGCATGTTCCTTAAGCTACGTTAAGATAATTATCAACATCTAGTAGGATGTGGATAATAATCGTACAATCAACGTACCGTTGCATAAGGAATATGAGATGACACAGGCTTTTAGTAGAACAATGTTGACTAAAAATATCAGAAAACAATAAAGATACGTAATTGTAACTTTATTTTAAGTACATATATATTGAATTTACGCATACATACCATTTTCTAAACCAGGCAGGCAATATATTCATGTAGGGGAGACCGGGGTTAAGAGGCCCACGGGAAAACTACGTCTTAGAATAAACATAAAATTTAAACTTTGCCAAAAAGAGCATATATTCATCAGTAGATATACCTGGTGTTATAAATAACATAACAGGATCCTTATATAATCCGATAAATCCAAAAAACTTAATAAAAATGCAATTAACTATTGAAAAACGCTTAATATTATGATTAAGCGTTTTTTGATAATTACTTAGTTTTATAAATTTTCCAATTTTCTAGAACTTACAAGGATTCGGTTGTAACTTTATTCACTGATGGATATATACTCATATTGACCATTCTTGAGAATTAAATTTATGTTCATTCTAAGACGTAGTATCACTTTAAGAACGTCACGTATCTGATAGTTGCAAATGTAATGGTCCGATAATTTTAATATGCGTAAGATTTAATAATTAAAATACTTATGATTCACTTTTTTCGTTTATGAAAATACTGATTTTCAATATCTCTCTATTAAACAATTAACAGAAATTATAATTATATTTTATATTGATCGTGTTATCTTATTATTTTATTCATTTGTTATATTATTTATATGTTAATATATTTGCTCTATTTTCTATTCTTATAAAGTATATGACAATGTTTATTTATATTTATGATTTGTACTTTAAAGATTCCGGATTATTGTGATGTTATCATAGTAATATTACTTTATTAGATACTGTCAGAGATAGAACAGGTGAGTACACAAGAGGGAGACATGGTAGCAACATTTTCAGTATATCACAGGCAGTCACCTATCTGTGTCAAATCATACCAAAAATCTAATTTGTGCAAGATATTGTATCACTTTAAGAACGTCACGTATCTGATAGTTGCAAATGTAATGGTCCGATAATTTTAATATGCGTAAGACTTAATAATTAAAATACTTATGATTCACTTTTTTCGTTTATGAAAATACTGATTTTCAATATCTCTCTATTAAACAATTAACAGAAATTATAATTATATTTTATATTGATCGTGTTATCTTATTATTTTATTCATTTGTTATATTATTTATATGTTAATATATTTGCTCTATTTTCTATTCTTATAAAGTATATGACAATGTTTATTTATATTTATGATTTGTACTTTAAAGATTCCGGATTATTGTGATGTTATCATAGTAATATTACTTTATTAGATACTGTCAGAGATAGAACAGGTGAGTACACAAGAGGGAGACATGGTAGCAACATTTTCAGTATATCACAGGCAGTCACCTATCTGTGTCAAATCATACCAAAAATCTAATTTGTGCAAGATATTGTTGATTTAAACAAACACACATTATTTAATAAAATTCGGACAAATTCGAACTTGTCCGAGATCTCATCATTATAAATATTAACACCAAATTTCATTTAAATTGGATGAAAACTGTAGTCTTTATTGTGTTCACAAAGAAATTTTGACGCGTTTTTCATAAGTCAAGGGCAATAACTCAAAAACCGTTCATCAAAAGATGGCCAAATTCGAACTTGTCCAAGATCTCATCATTATAAATATTCACACCAAATTTCATTGAAATTGGATGAAAACTGTAGTCTCTATTGTGTTCACAACCAAATAACCGTTCATCGAAAGATCGTTAATTCGAAGTTGTCCAAGATCTCATCAATACATTATAATGTGGGCGAATACAAAGGTTAAAACAAATTTGAAAATTCGCTAGTTGCATTTTATAGTGTCGTCAGTGATGTTACATTGAATAGTGTCGAGAGTGATATTAAATTTAAAAATGTCGTGTTAGATGTTAAATTGAATAGTGTCGTGAGCGATGTTACATTGAACTGTGTTGTGAGTGAGGTTACAATGGATAATGGATGAAAAATGTAAAGTGTAATTAGTGATGTTGAATTGAATACTGTCGTGAATGATGTTACAATGAATAATGTCGTGATTGATATTAAATTGGATAGTGTCGTGAGTGATTTTACATTGGATAGTTTCGTGAGTGTTTGTTAAATTAGAAAATTTTCGCGAGTGATGTTAAATTGAATAGCGATATGGGTGATGTTACATGGAATAGTGTCGTAAGTGATGTTTCATCGAATAGTTTTGTGAGTAATATGTTACATGGAATAGTGTTGTAAGTGATGTTTCATCGAATAGTTTTGTGAGTAATATGTTACATGGAATAGTGTTGTAAGTGATGTTTCATTGAATAGTTTTGTGAGTAATATGTTACATGGAATAGTGTTGTAAGTGATGTTTCATCGAATAGTTTTGTGAGTAATATGTTACATGGAATAGTGTTGTAAGTGATGTTTCATTGAATAGTTTTGTGAGTAATATGTTACATGGAATAGTGTCGTAAGTGATGTTTATTGAATAGTGTTGTGAGTGATGTTACAATAAATAGTTTAATGATGTTAAATTGAATATTGACTTTGGTGATATTAAATTGGGAAGTACCGTAACTGATGTTTCCACAATTCTTAACCTACGCTACCCTTCCCATTACCAAAACTTATTTAACTGGTCTCAGAATATGTGTACTCTTTCATGTATTTCCCTCTACACTGTAAAAAATTACCTTCGATTAACAGAAAAATTCCGGCACCTGATTTACCAGAATTTAAAAGTTGCCTTCAGTTATATAACAGAATTTCTTGTAAAAGAAAATATTTGTTGTGCTTACATTAGGATTAGGCTTCGAACTCAAAGAGTTGGCCTACCTACCTACATGTAGTAGGTCTAGTATAGTAGTAAAGTAACAGGCCTACATTAAGCTAGACCTAGCAATAACGCATAAGTTGCGGTATTAAGTGTAAAAGATATAGGTCTGGCTTAGATATTAGAGATTGTGCACCTTACTTAACTTAACAAGACATTGATAATACAGTTATTGAATGATTTTGAGAATGACTGACGACACTCGACGACGACAGGGTCACTATCTATTAGTGATGGGCCGATTGTCGCAAATAATCGGTTGTCGATCGATTATGTCCTACCGATTGCGACAATCGATTTAGAACATGAAAAATCGATCATCGGTAAAGTCATTTTCAAACACACCTTTCAAAGCTATTTTCACACGAACGCACCTCAAGGGAGGCCACTTTACTGTCTAGTCGCAGACTGGTACGCAGACGACATGGAAGAAGGCATAAAACACATTTTTCCCCATCTAGGCAACAAAACAAATTCAAAAGTATGGAATACTTTGGCTTTAAAGTTAATGAGGACGGGCCATCCATCAAATCCAATCTATGTATGCCAAGTTGAAAGAAAAACCATAACCAATCTTCATTATAAAAAATACTATTTTTGGTATTAAATAGACAACAATGATGAAAACACATGCATTCCTTTGATTTATTTCATCAAAAACTGGCATCACATCCAGCCAGGTGTTCATGAGGTAACATAAGGCAGACGACGTTTCAGTGCAGTAGTAGAGTAACGTTGTTGAAAATATTATCCCCTTTTGAAATTGTCTGAACATCCAATATCATTAGTAAAATTTCTCAAATTATCCAGGAATGAGTGGTGGAATATATTTCAAAACACAATTTTGATTAAGTCCAATATTCTGCGAAGTCGAAACTGACGCCATTCACAATAAACAATAAAGCCATGAGAAGTTTCAGAAAATGTTTAACATACATCGTTCATTGTTTAGTTTGATATTGCTATACCTATTCCTATACCGATCCTCCTTTCGAAAGAATTTATCAATTAATTTGAAAATATTGCACGAGATATTAATATATATGTATAGTTAAAATATGTTGGCCAAATGGATGACATGAGTACTGTTTAAGTTCCCCCCACCCTAAAAAAAAAGAAAGATATAAAACACAGCTAGCGAATGCGCGCTCCAAGCTTTTTGTGCTGAATTGAAACAACTTTTATTTGTTCTCTGTTTGAGACAAATATCCTCTCTGATATCAACTATATTCATATTTGAGTCAACATGTTAATTGAATAATTGGAAATTTAAAGTTTATCAAGATTTATATTATTTTTATATATTATTATAAGTAAACTAAAAATCCACTGTTGATTGTACATTATATAAACGTCTTTAATTGAATCGTGTTGATTAAAGTTTTAAAATAAAGGATTTTATTGGTATTTGTTCTGGATCAGTCTACTTTATACATCTTTATTTTGTAGTTTGGTCCACGTGTCTCGAATTTCACTTGGCTTCAGTTCATAAAATGCTACTGATACATTGGATGGGAATTCACTACTATTTACATTCTCTTCCAATTTTAGTTCAATGATATTAAACTTTAACACCTCTCTTACAATACCTGTCAGAAACACATCCTCAGGCCAAACAAAGGTCAACCGAGAAGATGGATGGATAGTCCGAAAGGCCATTTCAGACGACATAACATACAAAGGTCCAATACAATAACGAGGGTACATAATAAAGGGATATGCTTTATAGGAGACAGGGTGTTTTCCGAATCTTTTGGTGTGTCCAAACTTCACACTAGATCCAAAGATTGCTTCATCCTTTTTGTCCATGTTTTGGTATAATTTGTTCAATAACATGACAATGTCTAAAAGTACGTCGTCGTCTGCCTTGGCGATAAATTGTGTTCCTGGACAATGTTCCTGTATCCATATGTAGCCACTCATTATTTTGTACATTGAATGAAAATATGACTCGGTAAAATCAAACAAGAGAATATCCTTATACATTTCACCCTCTGATTTAACCTTATCATTTAAAATAATAGAAGGTCGTTTAAACAGAAGAAACAATACTTTAAACCGTTTCATTTTTTCCGGGTAGTGGTTGACATTTCCCCAGGTTTCTCGAATAACCTGCCTCTTATCTATACATTCTGCTATGCTGAATACCAGAATTGTCAAATATGGTGGTTGTTTTTCGCAGAAATCTTGATTTTGGATGGTTTCATTTAGATAAAAATTTGAGATGACTTTTGAACTCGGTGAAAAATAATATAGGTAATATATTCTCGCACACAATATATATGAAATAAACAACACGATAAAATACATCCATAATTTCTGGCGAATCTGAAATGTAAAAATAAATAATTAAAGCAAAAATCAGTTTCTGTTATTGTGACGTAACATGCAATAGCCATTTTCATTCAAGAGAACTTTGTAATAACAATAAATATGCCATTTTATATATGTATCTATACTTGATCAGACTTAATTCGTTTTGAATGTTGTCCTATACTAGTTTTGAATATGGTTATTAATACAATTTCACCCAATTCAAAACCTTCACCTTGGTATCAATCTACAAACATTAAGAAAATTTTCAAAAAGAGTGCCTCATAGAAAGAACCATTTTCAGGCATTCGAATAAGTCCCACATGCAGTGTTTAATAGAAACAGCATGCCTTTTCGATTGGCTTTAAAATGGGGGAACAAATCAAAAAACCTGAAACAATTCATAATAATGGGAAATAAATTGTTGATCAGTCACTTGATCATCACCAAAATCGAGGCAGATTCTTCCTTCTTCACAAACCCCAAAATAGATGCTGAAGGGGCTGTGTTTAAAATCAAAAACGTTGGAAATTATACCTGAAAATGTACATCTGTATATCTACTTGATCGAAATGAATTTGTTTTAAAAGGGTTAATTAAAAGTGTACTAATTTTTAAGTAGGCCTAATCAGCTTAAATAAGGGACACATTTCTCTTGCATTATATTATAGTGCATAACCTTGAGCAAAATTTATATCGATCTACGAAAAAATCATACAGCCCCTTGAAGACTTCTCACATAGACGTACAAAAATGAATTCTTTTGACCAATCACCGATGAAGGGAATCAATTGATATATATTATATTACTACACGTTAATATACTTACATTTCTACATCTCGTTTTCCACAAATAAAAGTTGAAGAATTTATTGATGAAAGCTTGCATGATGAATTCTTTGGTTCATACACATAAAAGGTTCAAGGTTGAATTGATTTTGTATTTCAATAATATAGATACAGTTAGTATTACTATGTTGAACACATACATTATTCCAGTTTGAATAGATATAATATAGGTCATTGTGTAGCCTATAATGTGCTCAAGGGCTGTCACACTTCAATCAATCATATTTTGATATTTTCTTCTCCATTTCAATCTTACGAGTTAACATAACAAATGTGGAATGAAGTAACCAAGAAAAACTGTCTTATTTTGTTTTGTTTTTTTTGCAATATCAAAATTCTTTTGTTTTCGAAAGGCGACTGGAAGAAAACTTATAAAATCCCAATGAAGGCGAAAAAGAAATTGATACAAGACTGGATTATCCATTCAGAGAACAGTTCTGAGATCGAAACGGATGAAAATTACACTTCCAATTTGAGAAGAGGTGGTCTTGGAACACTTCTCAGAAAGGATCAGTTGAGAACACTTCTTAAGCATGCGTCTTGATAGTAGTGTAAACGGTAAAAATTTGGTTAATTTATCGCGTCCAGGTCTAGACCGAGAACGGGACACTTCGTAACGTTCTAATGTAAACGGGGCTTTTATTGTGAGATAGCAATTCATTGTCCATTATTTCTATGAATTATGATTTACTGTGTGACTTTACGTCCAAATTTTCTTTTTATGTAAGAAGTAAATATCATTTGCAGGTCGAATTGAGGTTGACGATTTAGTGATTTAACTGTTTTAATTACAGACTAGGCAACAACAACTTAAGACTTAATCATATTGTTTCCCCATGAAACCCCCAGCTCAATATATGTACCACTTAAAAAGATTTCTGGATCTAAAGAATCTTTTGAATTTAACCACTTTTACCGACCTGTATGTAGGCCTACACTCCCTCTGAAAATTGTACACCATGAAAATCAACAAAAACTGTCATTTGATGGTGGGTGGCATTGCCATATTCAGACAGAATTTCGTATGGGACCTCTGCTGTACATTTCATGTACATTAACAAAAATCTAAAATGGCTGCTATCCAAAATGGCTGCCTTGAATAGCTTATTTGATTACATTTTGCGACTATAGCCTTATAATACACCTTTTCATTTGTTTTCAATGCTATTAAGACCTTTTCTCCGACAAGAAATTAGATATGATCATTTTTGAATGAAATATGTCATGTATCTGTAAATTTCACTGCTTTGAGCCCAGTAGGGCCTATACTACCAGTAGACCTCATCCAAAGTTTCAAGCAACCCAAATCAACCAAATTTCGATTTCAGTGCTACATCTGTTTGACTACTTCATTTATTACAGTTTGTAGATATTGTAGAAACAACAGATGTAGAAAGATTTGGTCATCATAATAACCTCTCTCATAATCACCGTGACACAAACACAACAAAATTTCTGCCAACAGAACTAATTTGGCACATTTCGACGACAGCCCTTGCTCATCAGTTAGTTCTGAAGGAGAGCTAGCTGATTGGATGACTTTTTCCAAATATAATTGTTTGGGATTTTTTTTGTATTCACTAGGATCAAGCTAACAGGCCAATGTTGCTGATGCAGAAATAGCTAATCTTTTAAACATTTTGAAAAACAAGCATGATTACGTTGTTTTATTTTTTGAAGATGGTTTGTATTGTATTCCAGTAGTGAATTTCTCTTATGCTTTAAACTCGGTAGAGTTGCTATTGAATTATTTTCATCATTAATAACATAGGTGGTGATCCAAAAGGTTCGCATCTTTTCATCTGTATGTATAAATATTAACTCTCTATTTTAAGTCTCAACTGTGGGTTAATTTAACCGATGTTTTCTGATAATTACAAAGTGGTGGTGCGCTGTAGTTTCAGACGTTGTAACGGGGCTAATCTTGATACCAGACTCAAGTACCCCCAGATGTAGCCGATATCAACCCAACAAATCGATTCATCACCTACATAATGTGCAATGTACATAAACACAGGGTAAACAGCTATATTACTCAGCTTTCTAAGACACAGATGACATTGTAATTACGCTGAGTAATACTGGACAGGTGTTCATTGTTCAAGTTAGAAACCCGGACAAATAATAAGTTCTGCCCAGAACGGTATCGGTAAGACAGAAATTGGCTGGTTTAAGATAATGAAATGTATGCATCAACGGGGTCAAGTATTTGAACTATTGCAGCAGGTTTTGTTTTTGTTGTAGTCTCTAACGACCAGGATATTTAAATTACCAGAATCAAGTGATCATTGACATAGTTCCGATAAATAATGCCTGCCATTCATACCGTATGCTGTAGAGCGCTAGCGTAACTTTCAATGTGGGCCGGTCGGAAATCTGTTCGATACTTAAGGATAATGATAATATGTGTGTTATGTGTATCGCATAACTGAGATTTGAAATTTCTTAATATAGACTGCAAAAATTTCAAAATCTTATAGTACAATCAACACATTTCACACAGTTTTTAATTCGAAAATAATAATAATGATCAATATATTACCGAAGCGTAGGTTCCTTAGGTCGAAATGCTACCCCACGAATGTTTTGTGGTACTGCGTGGAGGACAAGGGCATCGTAGAATATTCGGTAATGACTTGGTGGACGCACGGTTCGGATACCAACATTTCTACGATTTTGAAAAGTGGGTTGGAGCAACTCCCATAAAAGGTGTCTGGCCCTAAACGTGTCGTTATCTCATCCGTATATCACGTCCAAGGAAGGGTAGGACCAGATGTGTCGGGCTATTTATGACGGATGGTGACATTAGATGTCTGTTGATGGTAGTATATCTTGCTGAATGACAGTATATCATGCATGATGACAGAATATGACATTGGGCGACATTGGTATATTTGAAAGTCTAATAAATATGATGATAGATGACAGTAGATAATGGTAGATGACAGTGGATGACAGTATGCATACTGTAGATGATAGATGATAGTATAATTATGGTGAGTAACAGTAGATGATCATAGATGACAGTAGATCATGGGATGACAGTATATGATTACAGATGACGGTATATGATGGTAAATGATGGTTTACATTAATGTATGACAATAGATAATGGGGTAAGAGAGTATGTAATGGTGGATGACAGGAGATGACGGTAAATTATGGGGAATGACAGGAGATGACGGTAAATTATGGGGAATGACAGGAGATGATGGTAAATTATGGGAAATGACAGGAGATGACGGTAAATTATGGGGGATGACAGGAGATGGCAGTAAAATCTGGGGGATGAGAGTATATAATGGAAAATACCAGTAGAACAAAGGGGTGACAGTAGTGGACATTTCTTACAGTATTAATTTCTAATTACGAGACAATTTAGTCGAAGTAAAGTAATATTTTTTACTTACGAGATATTTAACAAGAAATTAAGTGTATTAATTTCTATTATGAGATAATTATGAAAAAAAGTAATTTTACATTAATGTCATTCACACCAAGTTTCATCAAAATCTGTCAAGTATTGTGCCTTCTAGAGTGATTACGAGCTAAAAACAATTTCAATAGCAAGGGCAATAAGTATACTAAGGCAACTATTGTTTATATTTAAAAAGAAGGATCATAATTCGTATCTGATAAAAAATAGAAAATAGATGTAGAATGTTTGCACCTTCTTTGATGATTGCTACAATATGCTTACTTTTCGCTTGGAAGTTCCTTTGATTTAACCGCCCATCTTAAAAGGACAGTATGTAAAATTTTCATTATCAAAAACGTCATAAAATATTTCCAAGAAAGCTTGCCAGGCAAGGTAACATACGCCCACTAGCAGCTGTCAGAAATAATAAAACAGTTTTTAGTGACTAAAGTACGAATTTTCTCATATTAAAGAAATTTTATTAGTTTGAATTCAATGATATATATATTTATAAAATATCAATAACCCAAATACATCAAATTATTAAATCACACAACTCTAATATCATGGGCAAAAAATTGTTAAGAGTGAAATCGTTGAAAATTCAAACTTGACCAAGATCTCGTCGATAAAAAAAAGTAAAATTCCATTCATTTCATTTCATTTATCAATATAAATCATCACTCCACATTTCATAAAAATCGCATGAAATCTGTAGTCTCAATTGTGTTCATGAACAAATTTTGGAGCATTATTCTTGGGCAATAACTCAAAAACAGTTCATCGAAAGATTGTCAACTTCGAAATTGTCTAAGATATCTCATCAATATAAATGGTCACACCAAAAATCATAAAAATCAGTTGAAAAATTGTAGTCTCTATTGTGTTCACAAATAAATTTTGAGGTTTTTTCCCTAAGTCAAAGGCATTAATTAAAAATCCGTTCATTGATAGATTGTCAAATTCAATCTAGGCCAGGATCTCATCAATATAAATGATCACACCAAATTTCATTAAAATCAGTTGAAAACTGTAGACTCTATTGTGTTCACAAACAAATTTTGACGCGTTTTTCCTAAGTCAAAAATCGAAAATTCGTCAAATTCGAACTTGACCAAGATCTCATCGATATACATTATCAAATCAAGTTTCATTAAAATCAGATAAAAACTGTAGTCTCTATTGTGTTCACAAGAAATGTTGACGGACCGACGGACAGGGGCAACGGCAATATACGTCTACATTTCTATGTGGGTGTATAAAAATATAGTTTTTTTTACATCTACGTGCATCTACTTGATCAAACTAAAAAATATATATAAGGGTTAATTAAAAACGGAGCGCACTAAGTATTAATTAAGCAGTTTGACCTAGTTTTTTGGAGTTTGGCTTTTTAATAGTTCGATATTATTAGTTGAAACTTTGAAGCAGTCCAAAACATATGCCTCTATTACAATCCCTGATAGACATTTTGACAGTTATCGACCGGAGTACAACAGCCGACAATTTTTAAATTAGCTATCAGAGGCTGGAATACAGTCGCTGGAATAGAGTCAAAGTATTTCGGTCTAAATATGTTTTCCACTATTAGTCGTTTATTTTCAATCCTGATAGACCACCCTACTATTTCTTATTTCGATTCATGACCTACTCAAATGTAACCGTAAAATATCCGTACTGTATCTTTCTTACACCTACCGAAACGCACGAACGAAATTTCTTAAATAGTTTTGAGTTAAAAATCAACGGCTGGATTTTTGTATTTTAGTTAAAACTTTCAGATACGTTAAGGGTCACATTTCTCTAGATTTTGGTGTATAGTTTGGCCTGAGTAATCATTTCTGTTTTTATCTAAAGCAAGTATAGGTTCAGGCTCACAAGATACAAGATGCTTCTGCCAACGCCATGCAACCTTGATCAGATGGTAATTTTTGAAAGTACAGTTGATCTTTTTGCATTTTGAGCATTGGTCCTGTGGTTTCAGTGACTATGGTGGTTCTGGGTTAAAAGGCGAAACAGTTTGTTCTCTCTCCCTTTAATGAACGAAATATAGTCACCAGCTTGAATTTCATTTGATAGAGCACTGTTGCGTTTGTCAAAATATTCCTTCATTTTACTTTTTCATCCTTAAATCGAACCGTTGCGTCCGTTTGTGTTAATTCCGTTCGGCTTACTCGGGAAATTTCGTTTTCGGTTTTCGGATCTCTATTGAAACGTAACCTATAAGGTGTACCAGTGTTGTTGAATGAGGCGTGGTTTGATAAATTCGATGAAACTTGACAAGCTCATCCTTCCAGGGTTTCTTTTGTACATGGACTGCTCATATAGCTTGTTTGTTAAAGGATTCTGCCTGGGCATTGGCTCTTGGCCATAGTAATCTTCCGATGATGTATTCCGCATTTCTTCAGAAAAGCTTTCCACGAGTGACCTCAAGGTGGGCGATTGTCGGGATTTATCACCAAACAAGGAAAACACTTTTCTGCAGCAGCTATAGCTGATTCGGCAGACGTCGTTCTCACTACTTCAGCAATCAGGTATCTAGAATATTCATCCACAATAACCAGACGGTAGTGGACCAAAGAAATCAAGGTGTAACCATGCTCCTCTTGATAGTTCTGACATTTTTAGAGGTTCTCGATTCAGCACCGAAATTGACATATTCATCAGCTATTTTCTCTTCTCGACTAAACATAAGAGATGTGTTTGTTAACTGTCGATTCAGTTTTCCGGATAGCGCCCTATCTAACATAAAATACCCTAAGGCGTAGATACCCGTTGCGATAGATTAGTTTTCTTCCAGAGAATTAAGAGTGGTCGGTGATCGGTCACCATGGTGAAGTTCCATCCTGCTAAATATATTTTTTAGTGCTCACTTGCCCATACAACTGCTTCTCGCTCGCTTCTACGTCGGTGAGAGAGCGACTTGCGAAGACCACTAGTGAAAATTCCAGCTATACCATATGTACTGGCATCCACCTGTATGACAGTGTGTTTGTTGGCATCAAAATTTGTTTTTAGCATCAGATAAGACTGCTTTTAATCTAAGTAACGCAGATTCTTGGTTAATCCCCTATTTTTCCACATTTGAAGCATCGAATATTTATGGAAGATAAGCAATCTAAAGTCCACGGTTTTATTTCCACATCTAGAGCAAACAGTGGCCAGCAGTTTTCTCACTTTCAGAATGATCTGTATTTCTAGTACGATGATGTGATGTTAAGCATGGTCTTTGGCGTTCTGTTTCAGGGGATATTTCTTTGGTTTGGTTTTCAGAAGGTTCTTTCGCGAGTGATAGTTTTAGTAGATGTTGTTCAGCTACAATCACGGCATTTGTCAATCGCTTGATCTTTGATGAAGTCATCTAAATTATCACCAAAATCCTTTATAGCAGAAAATGTTCGAAGTCCCTGACAAAATTGGAAATATTTTTCTGCTCTTGTTGTCGAAATTGGTGTATTTGAAATGTAAGTCATTTACCAGTGACAAACCTTTATTTACCTCCCAATATAGAAGTATATATCCTCTAAGACTTACATAATGAGGTCACGGATGGCAGTGTAAGGGATACAACTCGCATATAACATGTGGCTCTGGACAATAGTAAGATTAGTAAAATTCCGAATTCCAGAACTGTTCGAATTGTCCGAGTAGCCTAGAGGTGTGTGTCCAATCTTCTCCCGCAGCCCCCTTATCGACCAAACCAATTTCCTAATGGGAAGGAGACAAGGGTGGGGAAGATGTCAAAGTGAGAAACAGCAAGAACCAAGAGTTCAAACTTTTGGTAGCTATTTAGATTTTAATCTTCCACTGTGTTGTCACCTTGACATGTCATGGTTGCTATTCAAGGGAGATAACGGGAAGACGCCTTCGATCACAGACAACAAAAAGTGTCCATTGAATAATAGTGATTATATTTAGCCTATAAAAAATCAAAAATATCATAGACGGCATTATCATAAATTAGCACTGTGTACACAGAAATAAAGAAGGAAATTGTGATTTGACCAAATGAAAGCTTTTAAAAATATTCGTTTTTTGATGTAAAATGTTTTCATTCCAGAATTTGTGCACGACGTTTGGCGCAAATTTTGTTTCGATTTATTTGTCTTTTCTGACCCGATTCGGACAGTTCGGGAATTCGGAATTTTACACCCACCGATATTACAATCAGAATGAACCGCCTAGCTACAGACGTTAATTTGACTTGGGCTTTCCAAACTCAGCTAACCAAAAGAATTAGCCTTCTTATGTCTTCTCAGTTGGTAAATTAATTTTTTCGTAATGACAACTCGAAGGATCGTCACCAGCGGCAGTGGCTATTTACCACTGGTGTGGTAAGCGTGGTAAAAAGCCATAAGTACCTTTACAGCTATTTACCACGGCGTGGTAAATAAAATTAGTCATGATTTGATATTCTTTTCGGAAAAAATTGCTCAAAACTATCTAAATATTTAAAATAACGATTTTGCAATCAAATACTCATCATTTTCATCAAAAATTCCCTTTTTGAAAAATAAAAGTGGCGTCCTTAGAGGGTAGTGCCCTCGAAAAGCCAAAAATAGGGTAAAGTTGTCCCCACTCCCGTCAATGAAATACTGGCTACGCCACTGAGTAAGTAGACCTAATGTATATTTCCACAAAAATTTTAATGTTGTGTCCTATGGATATTAGGGTGATATGAGAATAAAAATCCCATAAAAGCACAGACCTAGGTCATGAAGTTCGAATTTTATATTTAGCTAAGTACTGTTAAACGCGTTCGCCCCTATACATTTTCGGTCTTTTTCATGTTTGCCCCTAGTTCGTTCGTCCTGGCTCCGTTCGCTCCACAATATTTTGTGACACAATAATCCATAATCCACAAAACGTTTAAATTGTCAAACTTGGTCACTTATAAATTTAAAAAGGACCCGTCCACTATCATGTGACAAAAAAACTGACTAGCTAGTCTTTCATTCAAACCTCTTCCAATTTGTCGTCCAGAAACTTGCCTTCACCAAGAGAATGTTATTTTTATTTTTCTTAGTGTCCAGAATTAAAATGAACTTCGAAACAAACAAATAAATTATGTGAAAATTGTAAAAACTCCTTAAAGTTCTCAAGAAAGTGGAAACATGGCTCACTTTTCAACTCGATTCATGCAGCATGGAACAATTTTTTTGCGACCAGGACAAATACTTTTTGTTACAGTTACGCCAATTTTTTGACCAATCATACTTAAGTCTCAGAAACGGGATTGTTTTAGCTAAGCCAATCGGTAATAGTGTTCACAGGTCACCGTCAAAATTTGAGCCTTCAAACTCACATGTGAATTATCCGAGTTTGAAACTAGTATACAGAAGATGTCTGCAGTAATGATACAGATATTGACAGTGTTTGACTGTAGTTTGTAGTAGAGGGAAGTAGCGGTACAGATATTGATAGTGTTTGACTGTAGTATGTAGTCGAGGTCAGTAATGATACATATATTGATAGTGTTTGACTGTAGTATAGTTTAGTGATGGAACAGATATTGATAGTGTTTGACTGTAGTAAGTAGTAGAGGTCAGTAATGATACAGATGTTGATAGTGTCTGACTGTAGTATGTAGTCATGGTCAGTAATAATTCAGGTATTGACTGTGTTTAACTGTAGTATGTAGTCAAGGTCAGTAATGGTACAGATATTGATAGTGTTTGACTGTAGTATGTAGTCGAGGTCAGTAATGATCCATATATTGATAGTGTTTGACTGTAGTATAGTTTAGTGATGGAACAGATATTGATAGTGTTTGACTGTAGTAAGTAGTAGAGGTCAGTAATAATACAGATATTGATAGTGTTTGACTGAAGTATGTAGTCAAGGTCAGTAATAATTCAGGTATTGACTGTGTTTAACTGTAGTATGTAGTTAAGGTCAGTAATGATACAGATATTGATAGTGTTTGACAGTAGTATGTAGTAGAGATCAGTAATGGTACAGATATTGATAGTGGTTCAGACACTACCAATATCATTACTGTATCATTACTGACCTTGACTACATACTACAGTCATGCACTATCAATATCTGTATCATTACTAACCTAGACTACATACTTCTGTTAAACAGTATTTCATAGGGTTGGTGATAGGTTCTCGAGTATTTACAAGCTACAGACTGAACGCATTTCGAAAGACATGAGCAATGCTTCATAACAATCAACACATTGTAAATTTATAATTTTATTGTTTTTTCATTCATAATAATCACTTCTATGATACTATACTAATCAAGTAAGCAATTAGATGCTCAGTAGGATTAGGCTTTGTTGTTTTCCTTGCACCAATAGTTCAAATATAGGAACAGTTGTCTACAAATCCTACGCATATCATCAGCCGCATTGAGTCTATTTCTATCTTTAGTTTTGATGACTAGTGTCGAGGTTCGCTTAGGTTCGTCGTGTTGAAGGGCACCAGAAATCCTTCTCCTACAATAGCCTGGGAACCAGGAATATACACTATTATAGCATGGAAATTAAAAATTCAATAAAAGTCTGTCAAGAGCATAGCTTTAAAATGTATATATAAACGAATTGCAGACTAATAAACAGCTGGAAATGCACGCAATACCGAAGTCTGATCATAAACACGCATTCCTTATGGTTCACATCACATAGCGATTGCAGAAATTTTTAGACTTTTAAATTTAGCGTCCAAAATGCCAGAAAACCGATATTAAATATGGCGGATATTTTTCTTCGCTAGAGATATTAAAATGCTTATTTTAGTGTGTTAACAATGTGAAATGTTCACAATATTTATATTTTTTAAACCTAAAAAGTGTCATTTTTTAAAATGTCCAAAAAAAAATTGGATGAAATCTACCAAATAAAAAAAAAGTGGTAAAATCTTGTTACCAAGCTTTTTCTCCATAGACTAAGATGGTGACATTGGTCTAATTTAACAAGTTACCACGCCGTGTAGGGTTACTTCTGACTATTTACCACGCTTACCACGCCAGTGGTAAATAGCCACTGCCGTAACCAGCCCAATGTGCCAAGGGGGGCAATAGCTGATAGGGACTTTTATTTCAGCTTCAATTGAGAATTTGTTCGATTTTTGTGGTTGGGGGGGGGGGGGGGGGGTGGTGCGAATATTTTCTATTTCCCCCCTGGGCCGCCACTAGTTACGGCCTGCGAGAACTTCAAAAACAGATAGTCGAAGAATGACTTTGCATTGGGAGATAATGTAGGCCAACGGATGTAATGTTATGATAGTTTATTGTCGAAATGCACAAAACAAGGTGTCTAATTTGACATTTTTCAAATGCATTATATGCATCCAAGCGATAGATTGTTGGATTATATTTCTAATTTAAACTTAGTTTTTTGGGATTGTTTTTTTCTTAATTATATCGGAGGTAGGTTTTCTTTCGTGTAGGTCTGTAGGCACATTATTTCTTTGACAGAAGTAGCCTACTTTTATTTTTAATAGGCCAAACTAGTGGTCACATATAGACCACAGAACTGTACTTGCAATGCATATAGGCTAGGCCTATACCTTGCATGTTAGACCGAACTATTTCATTTTTAGACCAGAGTAGCCTAGAGGGTGTGGCTTGGCTACACACCTTAAAAAATTGAACTCATTGGATAACAGTAACACATTCTTTTATTTATTTTTCTTTCTTTCTTTGTCTCTGGCTTTTTTATATTCATGTTAGCTTTAATGTACAGGTGCGACGGGTCACGAAAGGTTACATGACGTCATTTCCCATAGTTCAATTCTATCAAATATGGCCGATATTCGAGAGAGAATTCTGACAACACCGGTTATTTGATATTGAATTTCAGGTGACTTCGGGACGTTTTGTGGAATTATATATAGATATAGTCGGTCATCTGTGATTAGAGATTGTTTTAAGAAAAAACTCTGGACGTTTCGTGATCATCTAGAATTTTATGAAGAGATATTGCAGGAACAGTATGATGATTTGATTCTTCCTGAGCGTTGTGTGTCTGTAATTTTCCATCTGTTGCCATTGTAAAAATTGGCTTTAACTAACTTTCAAAATGGCTGATATCCCTCCACCATCTGATGCTGAGTGTAATATTAAGGTAGTTTGTCGTGTGAGACCCTTGAACAATTCAGAAGAAAAGGCAGGCAGTAAATTTGTGTTGAAATTCCCAACTGATGACTCCATATCGTGTGGTGTAAGTATTCAGTAAAAATCAATAAAAATGGCTGGCTACAATCAACATCCAGCAATTGATTTTACAAGCTTAGGACACATATGTTGTCATGTTTTTACAGTGTTTTACCAATTTAAATATCTTTGGTGTTCGAAATGGATAGATTTGATAGGACTTCTAGCCAATTGAATTAAAATAAACTACAAAGACTCTGGACCTAGTTGAAATCATTATCATAAAAAATGTAAAATGTTTGAATTAATTGACATTATGAAGTCTATGTCAGACGGTTGATTTATAAGCTTATATAATGATGTGTGTGATTGGCCTTAAGTCTGTTATCAATCAAAATAATACACTTTCCTATCTCTAATCTTAGCTTAACTGCAGTTATTGTCTTTCACATTTAATATTCAAATCTAATCTGATGTCTAATTATTATTTTAATGAATGATGTAGACAATAATTTATAATCTGCCATTCTTTGAGTGGACAGTCAATAAGAGTAAAGACAATTTGTAAACTAATATCATTGTCAATGCAGTGAATTGAAATGTAATAGTTGAATTGATGCCAATAAGACAATATAGGTGAAGGTAAATATTCAGAATTCCAATAAACATATTTATGCAGGTTATCTTTCACACCAGTAACATAGTTGATTGTCTGAATGCATGTAATAGCTTACTTTATTGAGGGCATATTGTATGACACTTAAAGAGATAGACCGGTTTATTTTCAACATGAAGAATTACGCTAATTATGTGTGAAACTATTTCTAAACCCTATATATAGATTTTATAAGTTTACCTGGCCACTGAGGAATCGTTTAAAACATCAAATTTGAAGTTTCCTATTATAATTGGTACGAGGCCGGTGTTTTCTCGTGAATGGTTCATTATCATCTGGGAAAGGAATTAAAGACTACGGACAAAGGTTTTGTTTAAAAACAAATTTTTGATCAGAAATATAAAAATTAACTTTGTTTGTGTACATCTCTGGTTGTTACATGTAAATTATGGATTATTATCATTATAGCTAAATTCACAAAATCACAAAAATAATAAATGAAAATAACGAAGTTGATTGCTACTTTTATTTTCTTCTGCGTCATCCAGTCTGAAATATGTGTAGCTGATCGGTTCAATTGGTTCAATCGAAATTTACTTTGAGTTCTCCTCAGAATCACTGTTTAGAACAGTAAAAATGGAGGCTGCAAGATTTAAAAGAGAAACATGATAGGCTAAAGGCTTACCTGAATTCAACTTGAAATGAATTTTGACCTATATATATTATATAGTGTCTTGATAATTCAGATTGCATGTCCATGTCTATAAGTGAACTTATTAAATTATGCATCTGGATCTTCTGTTTTATTTATTTTTGTTGGATACTGAGGACATTAGTGTATTATGCAATATTTTATTATCATTTTTCAGGGTAAAGTTTTTGTGTTTGATAAAGTTTTGAAACCGAATGTCACGCAGGAACATGTCTATACTGTGGCTGCTAAACCCATTGTTGCTGGTAAGTACAGTTCTAAATTACGGTACAGATTTAAAAAGGTTATGGATTTATAATTTTGAATTCAATCAGTTTAGCTGAACCCATATACGTATTTCCTACTGTGCATGTGTTGTGTTTATTGAGATGACAGTTTGTGCAGAATGCACTACTTAATCAACCTTACAATAAACTGAGGCTCTGTGTCATGCCTGTGGCTGTACAGATTGAAGATTTAGCAACAGTTGTGAAAAGAAAAGGCAAATACAGATGTTCTAGCAAAATTTCCTTCATGTTGTGCACTGTATGAGGTTGTCTTTCTCATTAGCCTGTATGGGATACGACACAGATTCCCATGCAAGGTGGAACAGTGTGCAAGTCATCTACTTAGAACTGCTCAACTTTTTAATAAAAAGTGACTGTTTAAACAAAATTTGAACTAGCCTCAGATTGTTAATTATCAAGCTTTGAGTTGCTTGTGAAAATGAAAGCTAAATAGCTAGGATGCCTATTTTCCTATTTGTATACACTGACATGAAAACACTTTAGAGGGCACAATTCTTGACAGATATTGACGAAACTTAGTGTGAGTGTTTGTTGTCACCTAAGGATGAACCCTAATGAAAATCAGAAAAATCGAAAAAATAATTGGTAAGAGTTGTTGCCCTTTTTCTTGAAAATTTGTTAAATTTGTTTCACATAATCACTCTAGAAGGCACAATTTTTGATGGATTTTAATGAAACTTGGTGTGAGTGTATGTAAATCACTCAAAGATAAACCCTTACGAAAATCATCAAAAAATCGAAAATTAATTAGTATGATTTATTGCCCTTGTTCTTAAAAACAAGTTCTTGACTGACATTGGTAATATTATTCAGTATCGCCTCAAAATGTTCAAAAGAAGTGTATGTCTGAAGGTTAAATATTTAATACTGGTAATTGTTACTGTACTGCTAAATATTTTTATTTAAAATCAAAGCTTCCTGTGGGTGTATATTAACTTGCCTGGCAAGCTATATTTACAGAATACAACATGTAATTACTGCCAGCATGTGTTTAATATTAAATTGTCAAGTTTGAGATCTACATTGTTTGAATTATGATAATGTAGAAAGAAAATTGATCTTTGAAAGAATTCTATCAATATCAGTACTATTAATACACCCAGGCCAGTCATAGTGTAAATAATACCACCATATTGTTATCATCATTTTACTGTTTGAACTCTCCATCAGTATTATACAATTCTTTCACAGCTTGTGAGTTGTTTTATCTTTATAGTCAGTCTTACCTAAAGACAGCTGTATGAATTTTTTTTTTTTTTAAACAATAATTCTTTATTGTGGATTTAGTGGTACAATGTACAAAATAGATATATGCGATACAGAAAAAATCATAATGCTTATTGGAATCTGCCTCACTGAATAAAATACATACTAACACAAATATATTTCATAAGGTACCGGTACATAAGTTAATACATGTAAATCAAAGTCCTTCTTTATTACACTAATGAAATGGAGATTATATGAAATATTTGATTGGAAACACTTCACATTCAAAACCACATGGCATGTATGACCTGAAGCACAAAATAGTCTCAAATACTCACATGTATTGATGAGATGTAATTAGTTTTTAACGCCTAATATTTACTTAAACAATCAATCTTTGATTGTTATTGGATTGATACTGGTGTAAAATAGTCAGAATCATCAAAAATTGTCAAAAGGTACAGTCTGTAGTGCTGGGTAAAAGAATTGAAATATTCATATATCGTCACTAAGAATTTATAATATCAATTATTGAATCTATTAAATATCAGTTACATTTTCTAATATGTTTCCCATAGTTTCTCTTTCAGTATTTATTTATTTATTATTCATTTACCCACATTGAAATATAATAACTGATCAAAGCATTGAATAATTGTATTATTATACTTCTATCATAAAAAAATAGCCCATTGGAATTAAGAATTTGGAAAGTATTTAGAAGATTTCTCAATTAAAATTTCTTGATTATTTATTGATTATTGATCAATAGTATGACGTTGATGATAGATCTCAATTTGGTAATCAATACCCAGCTGTAACAGTGAGTTAACATTATTTCTTCATGTCTGCAGATGTCAAAAATAACAGTTAAAGGCTATTGTTGTAATCTTATCAATTAGATTATTAGATTGACGTTTTCTGGGTCAATAATACCTGCAATATTATTAATATCAACATTTATTCAGGATTCAAAAACCTGTTCTAGACTAGATCAACAAGACTATCAATTCAGATCCTCAGGCATACTTCATCAAAAAATGTAATTTATTTTAATTGATAGGACTTAAGTTATAAATGTGAAGTGTTTTTTTTTTTACTGTTAAGAGTCACTTTATTTTATAATTCAAGAAACAGTACAGTACAGTACTAGTTGATCTAAATGTCCATGATTTATTTTTCTGAAGAATATTAGTTTTTAAAAATCATTTAATTTATTGAAATCAAATATCAGCAAATATTCTGTGTCCATTTTCCCTGTAAACATTGAGCTTGCTCAATACAACTTATAAAACAAATTGAAGGCTTAATATGTGCAGATTGAATAATTTTTGACAGTGACCTATCCTAATTTGTTGCTTTTTACAAATCTTTATGTGGGAGCATAAATATTATTTAGTCAGACATACAAACAGTTGTGACGTAAGTTTAATGAAAATTTGTGACTGATATTTAAACCAAACAACAATTGGTAGACAACAAAAATCACTTTAACCCCAAATATGTTATAGATATTGTCATAGAACACTAAGCTTATAGCTAGTTATTCTTTTTGACTGGTACAATAGTCATAAGAAATTAAATTGAGACATTCCTAACACCTATGTTATCAAATAGGTCTATAAGTATATAAGTTAGTAGGGTTACTATTGTTATTGCCAACAATATTATGAACAAGCCTAAAAAGTTAAACATATGAAAACCTTCATGGTGGCTCAGGCAATAGAAATTTTATGCTGTTTATATTGTTATGATCTAGTTGTTAAAATATAAGTTTCATCAAATTTGTACTTGTCAGAACAATATCAACAATTTTTTAAATTCATTAGTTAATAAGATACAGTGTTCTAGATACTCTCAATCATGCTAAGAAAAATAATGTTTAAAAACAGTCAATATGTTATGATAGATATATTAGAAAACTATTTTTAATTCTCAAAATGACAGTCAATGATATTGGTATGGACAGTGAATGACCTGTACAAAAGCCTGGCCACTAATATCTAGTTAGTTGGATTTAGACATTAAAAATAATGTCAAAGATGTACCCACAGTATTTGTAGTCTAAGGCTCCATGATTAAGTGATGCATAGATATATTCTTATATAGTTTGGTATTCTATTACATTATGCAATATAGATAAAATAGAAATACCACACCCTGGTCATTAGGTGTGAGTTATAGTATCATGGCACATCACCTAGCTAGATGACATCTAAACACAACAGACGGAGTCTCAAAGAGCTAAAAAAAAAAAAGTATAAGCTTAAGCAATCAGTGGTAGAGAAACTGGGTGTGTCACTTCAACTGCTCAAGGCTGACCAATAGACAAATAAACAATGTTTTTAAATGTCTGATTCAATTGGATTCTTTTCTTATGACTTGCTGATATAGAAATGCCATTTCCTTCACAATGATAGAATTGTGCAAAACACTTTTGGGAATAATTGATGATATTTTATTTGTAAACTTGTAAACAAATGTCCATGATAAGTTTCTGTGGTCTAGGTTGTCACCTTGACATGGTTTTTTGAAGATCTGTTAGCACCAATGAATTGTACTATGCTCTATCACAGTTCTAAAGCTTATAATTTATAGTCATTTATATGGTCAACATGACAAAATAACTGAAACTGAACAGTAGTTAGTACAGTACCAATTTATTATTGTACCAGACTTCAACAATAAGAATTGTCAGGAACTCTATGGTTACAGATCAATATCATATAACAATAGACTAGCTCCTACCACACTTCTATATTTAGTTGTATTATGTCATCTACTATACTGGGATGATTACAAATTTATGAAGTCTTTATAATCATTGCTGTTCACGAAATATACTTATACTTAAAAATATCATTATAATTATCTTTCTTGTCGCATTCCAAGCCGATTTCCCAAATAATCTCATGGTCTATATCAACTGGAAGGTATATCGCTAACAAAAATCGCAATATCCCAGTGCAAGAGATCTTGACTAATATCCGTAAGATCTGGCTGGTATTTTATATCTAAGTTGAATGTATGTAACAAAATTTGATTGCTACTGTAGTCTCTCAAAACATAAATTATTATGTTATTATAGCATACTGGGTCAGAAATTGAGTATAAAGTGGCAAACAAATCTTCAATATTCATGCAACACTTATGCATTTGCATCTTAAATTTTCAAGCCAGTATTGATATGAAATAATAAGCTGAATTCTACAGAAACATGTTAATATGGAAACTAAAAAGAATTTTTCTTCTATTGCAGATGTCCTCAGTGGTTATAATGGAACTATTTTTGCTTATGGTCAGACATCCAGTGGTAAAACCCACACCATGGAGGTATGTTACCAACTTTCTTATAAATCAGTGGTTCATGTGTGAACAGTAGAACAATATTTTGATCTTATTTCAAAGATATTCAGTGTAAATGAACAACAAGCCAAAATAAAGACTATTTATTGTGTATTAGGGTGTATTGGGTGATGAATATCTATCTAGTATTATACTGAGAGTTGTTAATGATATTTTTAATTATTATGTTGTGATATTTTAGGGTGTATTGGGTGATGAATATCTGTCTAATATTATTCTGAGAGTTGTTAATGATATTTTTAATTATTATGTTGTGATATTTTAGGGTGTATTGGGTGATGAATATCTATCTAGTATTATACTGAGAGTTGTTAATGATATTTTTAATTATTATGTTGTGATATTTTAGGGTGTATTGGGTGATGAATATTTGTCTAATATTATTCTGAGAGTTGTTAATGATATTTTTAATTATTATGTTGTGATATTTTAGGGTGTATTGGGTGATGAATATCTATCTAGTATTATACTGAGAGTTGTTAATGATATTTTTAATTATTATGTTGTGATATTTTATTTAGGGTGTATTGGGTGATGAATATCTGTCTAATATTATTCTGAGAGTTGTTAATGATATTTTTAATTATTATGTTGTGATATTTTAGGGTGTATTGGGTGATGAATATCTATCTAGTATTATACTGAGAGTTGTTAATGATATTTTTAATTATTATGTTGTGATATTTTAGGGTGTATTGGGTGATGAATATCTATCTAGTATTATACTGAGAGTTGTTAATGATATTTTTAATTATTATGTTGTGATATTTTAGGGTGTATTGGGTGATGAATATCTGTCTAATATTATTCTGAGAGTTGTTAATGATATTTTTAATTATTATGTTGTGATATTTTAGGGTGTATTGGGTGATGAATATCTATCTGGTATTATACCGAGAATTGTTAATGATATTTTTAATTATATTTATGGTATGGATGAAAACTTGGAATTCCACATCAAGGTTTGTTATTACGAATTGATAACCCATGTGATACATCTTGTCATTAGGACATGAAATATTCCCTGTTGATTTGATAAAAGAACCTTTTCGATAATTGCTGAAAGTATCAAATAAATCTCTCTTAATGTAATGCGTAATTTATAGCTGTAATATTTAATTTGTGTTTTTACAGGTTTCCTACTTTGAAATCTATATGGATAAAATTAGAGATCTTCTAGACAGTAAGTGATGATTTTGTATTTGCATGTTGTAATTAATGGTGCTAGAAACACGTCTTGGAAATGGTTCAATGGATTAAGAAATACTTATCACATTTTTGTCAAAATAATACCATGTAGTAAATAAATTTTCAAACTTCTCTTTTTTTTTCAGTTACCAAAACCAATTTAGCAGTACATGAAGATAAAAACAGAGTTCCTTATGTCAAGGTAAGAATTGTTATGACTGAAGAATTACAAAATTTTTTGTTATACCATTTTTGAAATAATTTCAGAATTTTCATAACCATAATGTTTGAAGATTTATTGACTGTAAGTAGTGTATTGAATACAATATACCATATCTTAATCATCCACCTGCACCTTATTAGAGAAACAGGAATATACAACTGTTAGTTTATATTTTAGGGGTGTACTGAAAGATTTGTATCAAGTCCTGAAGAAGTCATGGAAACAATTGATGATGGTAAAGCTAACAGACATGTAGCTGTTACAAGTAAGTAATATGTACTGTAGATCCAACTTGTCATAGGTTTGATCTTTTGACAGGGATGCAGAAATGTCTGATACAGTGTCATCATATGTTCTAGAGCAGCGTGCACAGTAATTATCAAGATCAAGATCAAATTCTTTTTGGACTTAGACTAAAGCTAAGACTTTGATAGGTTGAAAATGGAGCTGTGAAAGTCACACAGTACATCTGTATAATAATAATTGTAATTGTAGACATGAATGAACATAGTTCTAGAAGTCACAGTGTATTTTTGATTCATGTGAAACAAGAGAATGTAGAAACAGAGAAGAAACTACATGGTAAATTATATCTAGTCGATTTAGCAGGCAGTGAGAAGGTAAGATTCTTTTTGTCATAATTTTTTACAAATTATCTGTTTTGGCTAAATAATATAGTGGATATTCAGTGTGCATAGACATTTTATCTAGGCTGTGGTATTAGTCAATTCTTTTTCATTTCCATCTATTGTGAGATTGTGTATAGTCTGAAACACAGTAGTGTAGTAATTGGAATTAACTATCTTTCCAATGTAGGATTTGAGGTGAATATTCAAAGTAAGCTACACTAATTTGGCAGAATGGTTATTTATCCGGGATTCATTTTAATAATTGATATTTTAGGTCAGTAAAACAGGAGCTGAAGGAGCTGTCTTAGACGAAGCTAAAAATATCAACAGATCTTTGTCAGCTTTAGGAAATGTTATTTCAGCTTTAGCTGATGGAAATGTAAGTATTTTGTTTAGATAAATTTTACGTTATAAATTTACAATCACTAAAGAAGCTTTATAGCTTAATGTAATAATATATCTTATAATATTGATCATAAGAAAATATTGTTTTTATTTTGTAGAAATCTCATGTACCATATCGAGACAGTAAATTAACTCGTATTTTACAAGAGAGTTTAGGTGGTAATGCTCGAACTACAATGATTATCTGTTGTTCACCAGCATCTTACAATGAATCAGAAACTAAGTCGACTCTTCTCTTTGGTCAAAGGTTTGTGATTTTTATTATTACTTAGCAATGTATAATGTAGGATCTCCCGTCAAAGTGTCATCTTGAATTTCTGAAGTGGGCTCATCATTTTTTAAACTTTTGTTTGTTTCCAAATTAACATATACCCACTACAGAATAAGCAAAAAAGGACATATTTCAGGATCTAAATAATCTTTCAGAGCTATTGTTTTACTTTTTTAAACTTGCAGAGCTGAGACTGATCTTACAGATCTAATTAGTAAGTAAAAAGTTCTAATCTTTCATCAGAGCTAATAAGTAATGAGTATATTTGAATCTTTCAGAGCTAAGACTATTAAGAATGTTGTCAGTGTTAATGAAGAATTAACAGCTGATGAATGGAAGAAGAAATATGAACGTGAAAAAGAAAGGAATGCTAAATTAAGAGCTATCATATTAAAATTACAAGAAGAATTGGCTCAATGGAGAAGTGGTAAGTTAAAATTTTGGAAGGAATTGAATCGATCATCATGAATAGTTTGCCAAATAAGTGTTCATTTGTTCTTGCATTCATTAATTCATTCTGTCTATTCTGGTATAAGATGTTTTGATTTGTGGGCTGATACCATTTACATATCATACCTGGGATTTGACATATTGTCTAATTACATTGATGCTTTGCCATCTTCACCAGGTGTAACTGTTTCTCCCGATGATCAGATAGATGTTAAAACAGCTTCAACTGTAGAGTTAGATACACCTAGTAATAGTGCTCCTCCCAGTCTTCAAGCTAGTCTTATAGCTACCAACCTGACTGATGATGAACGAAAACAGCTTGAAGAGGAAAAGATAAAACTTTACCAACAGTTGGATGACAAGGTTTGTACTTTCAACATGTATTGTCTTTGATATGTAATTGAATGAGTTAATCATTTCTGTAGTTGACTTTGGTTATTCACTAATTATTCTGCACAGTAATAAGGCTTTGTATGTTTTTAAAATTGTTCATACCTTCTTTATAACTTAGAATTTAATGAAGTTATTCCGAGCCCTGTATTCTCGAAATGATCTTAGGGCTAGGATGTCCTAAGGTCTTAACTTTTTCGCTGAGATCTATTCAAGAGTAGGTGGCCTAGTTTTTAATCCCCCCTCCCCTAACTGAATCTGTATGTCAACTGTCAACCTTCACTATAGGATGAAGAAATTAACAACCAAGCTCAACTAATTGAGAAGCTAAAAGAACAAATGTTAGAACAAGAAGAATTGATCAGTCAGTCCAGAAAGGATTATGAAGGAGTGACACAGGAGATGTCTCGAATCCAAGCTGATAATGAGTCTGCTAAAGATGAGGTCAAGGAGGTACTTCAAGCTCTGGAGGAACTGGCTATGAATTATGATCAGAAATCTACTGAAGTGGAAAATAAGAATAGAGATATTGAACAGTTGACTGAAGAACTCTCAACTAAACTTGTAAGTTCTTACATGAAATTCTTTATTTTGTTCTTTTAAGTTGAAACTAAGATGAAAATTGTCTAATTTGTTGGTGGTCAAATGTGAACCATGATGTTGAATTGTTGGGATTCTTGATTGTTAATCAGCTTTTACGTGTATGAACATATCTGGTCTACCTTTTAATGTAAATTAAATTGTATTGCGAGTTTCATATGAGTGCTAGATCAGATATTTTTTCACTGAATAATGCTGACACATGTTGTGCTTATGTAATTGTTATTGCAGACCACATTAAATTCTGTGCAATCTGAATTTGAAACATTACGTGATTCATCATTACACCAGAAGAAACGTAGCAGTGATATGATGTTAAGTTTACTCAAAGATCTGTCAGAGATTGGTACCATAATTGGTGGCAGTGCTGCTGAATCTAAGGTGTGTGGTGTTTCTTTATTAACTTTATCTGATATAGATTTAAACAAAGCACTGTATGTTTCAGAATAATCATACACATTAACACTCTGACATTCATATTCTTCACCAATTTTGATGATTCTTTCCTGGAAACAAATATTATGTCTCCATGCTCTAGAGAGTATCTTGTAAAATGATATTCTTGTGATGTATTTATGTATTCATATATTTAGGAGACCAGGAAATTGAAAACTTTGTGACAGTGCCTTGAGAATAATAGCGTTGTACAATTGGAGCCCATACAAGATTTAATTTGTTATATTTCAGTTGAATATATCATCCAGTGAGAAGATAGAAGAGGAATTCACTGTGGCTAGATTATATATCAGCAAGATGAAATCTGAGGTCAAGTCTCTAGCTAGTCGATGTCAGGAATTGGAAAATTCTCAGTCTGAGTGCAATAAAAAATTCGAAGATACAAAGAATGAATTGTCTGATTGTAAATTGAAGTTAGTTCAAGTAAGTATTTTGGGGTTTGGGATATTTTCCACTAATGTTGAATTAATATATTTCAAACTGTGAACTGGCATACAATGTCACTTTGATAGATAATTTTAAATAGAAAATATATGGATATAGTGAACAATGGACTGTTTAATAAAAGGTGTAGGCCATTTATTTTACCTTCACCTTCGAAAATGATTACTTATAGCATGAAGCTAAGATAACAACATTAAATGATACCATCAAAGATATTGAAGGTAAAAAGAGACAATTAGAAGAAAATGTAGATTCTCTTAATGAAGAAATTGCTAAATTAAGGGCCCAAGGTAAGATTATTTCTATTCAAATGAAACTGGTATAGGTTATTGGGATGATCTTCATATTTTTTTCACATTGACTCTTCAATTTGGAGATAAAATGGCATTGTTAATGTCATGGTGACATGAGTTGACAGTAAAAAAAAACAACACACCATCATATTGTAAAAAAATTCTCTGACTATAAGATATAAGAACAATGTTGTGGTTTGTGTTAAGAAATGTGAAAGTTTATTGATGTAATGTGTACAAATTTGTATAAGTATGATATTTCTGTGACTAAATTTTGAATTCATGAAAAATTCCTTTTTATAGAACAAATGCACGCTACTGCTGTTTCCAAACAAGCTGAAGCATCCAGCAAACTACGATCAGAAACAGAACTGAAAGAGGCTTTGGAGTCCCAGATGGAAATGCATCGTGAGAATCACCAAAAACAACTATCAGCTCTTCGTGAAGAAATATCAGAAAAACAGAGCATCATTGATACACTTAAAGAGTAAGTAAAAGTTGTTCTAGATAACAGAGGTTTACATCGTAAAGTTTTTTTCGAAATGTTTGATATTGATCAGGTAAAATGGTTTAGAGAAAGAGAGTATACATCAATATTATTTCCCAGAGCCATGTTTCTCATGACATTCATTTATGAATATGGATGTCATGCACTGAAAAGACACTTATTTGTAAGTTGGTTGTAATGTAAAACCTTGCAAGATGAATTCTATAGTAATAAATGTATTTATTTTTCAGTACAAACCAGAAACTAACTTTGGCTCTGGAGAAATTACAATCAGATTATGATCAATTGAAACAAGAAGAAGCTGATAAGTCAACTAAACTCTCTGAATTATCTGTACAAATGGACAGACGTGAACAGGCTAAACAAGATCTTAAAGGCTTGGAAGAAACAGTGGTATGTATTCTTAGTGCATCAAGCCAGCCAGTTTAAAGATAAAAATTATATAGATTTATTTTACTTGACTAAGCAACCACCTTCAATATGTGACTACAACAAAGTCCCCCCTTACAAATTTTCATAAATTATAATTAAAGATTGTTTAGCGACCACCTTCAGTACGTGACCAGCAACCATGTATTTACACTCCCATAAAATCAAAACAAGTCAATTAAGCGACCATAACAGTTATCATTATCCCCATTGTATAAACATCACAGGATTTCACATACAGATGAGATTAATAGGGATTATAGTTTACTGTCATTTGGCTTAATTATACCACTCTAACGATATAAAATAGTCATCAAAACAAAATAACTTTGGTTTTTATTCTGACACAGTTCTCTCCTAAGAGACCATCTCCTTTAAGAGACATCTTTGGATTATTCCCTTGAGTGGTCTCTTAATACAATTTCTGCTGTACTTTGAACTGAAAGATTGGAACAAATGTTTCATGATTACATCAATTTTATCAAAACATATTGAAAAACAATAATTTTTAGATATTTCATTTTTTAATAACTTGACTTGAGAGCCAGTCTAAAATGAAAGAAATAGTTTTGATGAAAATATTTTTGTTTTTAGGCTAAGGAACTTCAAACATTACATAACCTGCGTAAAATATTTGTCCAAGATCTTCAAAACAGAGTTAAGAAAGTAAGTATATTTTAAGTACAAGTACTATTACTCAGTTCATGCCATCTTTAATGTGTCCTTAGGACCGTTCTCACTGATTGCCATGTCTGTGTAAATCAGTTTGATATATGTCCTATCTGCACAGATTATGATGCATGTAAGTTCTATATTTTAGACTTTCTGGGTTTTTATAATGAGGACATGAGATACATAAAGAAATGCTGGTAAAGAAACATAAGATGTACAGGTTGTCCCATGATATAATAATAATAATATTTTGTTTATTAGTCAGCTAATAAGAAAGAAGATGAAGAAGAAGAAGATGCTGTTGGAAGTACAGCTCAAAAACAAAAAATATCTTTCCTGGAAAATAACCTGGAACAGTTGACCAAAGTTCACAAACAGGTAGGTCTTTATAGAATTAATACAATATAATAGTTAACATCATATATTATATCAGATCACCATATCTTAGTAATAACAGTTGTCATGAATTGTTGATTTAAAAGCCCCAAGATTGTAATAATAAAGTTCACACACATTTTCAGATCTCTTGAGGGGTCCAAGACGATCTTAATCAAAATGCCTTTTTATTGTCAGTTGGTGCGTGATAATGCTGATTTAAGATGTGAACTTCCTAAATTAGAGAAGAGATTGAGAGCTACCATGGAGAGAGTGAAATCATTAGAAACAGCTTTACGTGAGGCTAAAGAAGGAGCTATGAGAGACAGAAAGAGGTCAGTTGATATTAACAACATAATGGAAGTCAAGCTAGAAACATTGTTTAGTTAGTTAATGTCTTAAAAGTTATTTTTCATATCTTGATATAAAACTGATTTTAAAGTAGTAAAAAAAACTTTGGTTACGCTGTTATTAGATCAAACAGAATTTCAGAATCCTGAAATCCTGTGAAATTAATTAATCTCAATTGTGTGGCTGCATAATTAGATCATGGAACACTTTCATTCATAAAATAGTTAATTTTGAGGTTTAACTGCTAAATCAAGAAACTTGTTACAGACATGAAACATATATATTAAATTTTATTTTTACCAGTTCTCTATTATTATACTATGGAAGGTAATGTTAAATGCTCTGTTCATTGTCAAATATGATGCAAGTTTCTAATGTTACCTTCTTTTACAACAAAATTGTATTTCTAGCTTGACTTCCAACTGCTGGCTGAAATGTAGGGTTTGATTGTCACTGCCTTTTTATTTGCATTAGTTACAAGTTGTTGGTTGTGGTTTTTTTGACCTTTGGTGTCAGATTATTGCATTTAGTTAGAATTTTAGCACCTAAAACATACAGGACATGTCATTGAAATTAAGAGCCAATTTGACCTTAAAGGACAAGAATTTGAAGGTATTATCAAGCCATGTTGTACAATTAATACAGTATGTAAAATGTGTTTTCTAATAAATAAATAAACTATTTGGTGTAATGCTGCTTAATGAGGACATCACTACACCAGTCAAGGCATGAAACAATGATTTTGGTGTTGTTACTATCTTGAATTGGTATGTAGTTGTCTAAACATTTGCGTTACCATTTAATACAGCTAGGCAGTATAAACACCAAAGGCACATTGTTTGTTGAATTACTGAGAAACTAGTCAATTCAATAGTTTGTATGCTGGTAAAACAATTATTGTGATTTCCATATCCCTTTAAGAAGATTTAACAATTGATATGATCAAACATTTCTTTTATCCTTAGTGAAAATAATAATCACAAGGCTAAATACTGGCTTGACAAAACCTCTGGACATGTTTAGTGTAAGCTTGTGTAACTGTAAGCTTATGTCAATATATTTCACCTTGAGCCAATTTATCTCTTTTAATGTGCTTTTCCTTTAATATTTTCCTGTAACATTTTCAAATTAAAGTGTCATCCTTCAATGTGGTTATTAACTGTTAGAATCATCATCAAGTTTTTATTATAAAATAACTGCATGATTTAAGATAATTTTTTTATGAGGTACTTAGAAACTGACATTGAATGACAAAGTTCAAGCTAATTTTTGTGTAATAAGGTTATAGATCCAAAATTAAGACTTGTAAAATAGGTGTAAAGAATACTGAATAAGAGAAATATTGTACTGTCTAAAAAGACCTCTGATTTGATAATGAATCATATAACTTACAAAGACTCCTGACTGATCTTTCTCATTAGAAATACAGACCTACCCTAAACTCCTGACCAAAGTCATACTGAAAGTAACTCACAATGAATCATGACAAAAATCAAGATGACTCCTAATGTGTTCAAATAAAAATGTTGGTTTAGATTGACATGGATTAATTTTTATTTTAATTGGCTTGGAAATTCTCAATCATCTCAAATTCACATTTTGATCCAGATTGACATTAGAAATCTAGAAATTTTGATTCTCTTATTCATGACCTGCTTAGCTGATATCCTAGCATAGATGCATTGTAATCAATCTTTTTACAATACCTAAAGCTAAGTACATTATTTTGAGTTGAAATTCTTCTTATTGATAGTAGTTATAACGTATTACAGGACTAAGTTAGAGAAATAGACAAAAAATGAAACTTCTGCATGGATCTTGTGATGTTAGAAAGCACTAATAATGATGTTGTGACTAATTTATTTTTCAGTGAACAGGATAGGTAATAATACACAGACATAGCTTCTCCTTTTTCTTGTCAGTGTGCTTTAAATATTATAACAATAACAACTACTGTAGTCATTAATAACATTTTACTAGGTTTACAATGACAAATTTTACCATAGAAATTGAAATTTATACAAAGTCTGTACCAGAAACTGATCAAATATCTGATCAACGATCTAGTTGTCTATTTAGATTATATATCCGCTACTTCAGCTATCACGGAAACAAGAATTAAAAGCTTAATTTGTCATTGTTCTGGAGAAATTTGATATTTTGAATTGATTCATTCCAAAGTACAATTAGGCTTTCTAGTTTACTAACATTTAGGAACAAATATTTTGATTTGGTCTTAAGCAATGTAGAAAGTTATAAATTCCTTTTAAGGTCAATGAATCAAGAAAATTCCTTAACATGCAAGTTCTTTCTTGGATATGACTGTGTGAGGTTCCTTTGTTAGATGGAATTTGGAATTTCTTTTTAGGGATGAGGAGGGTCTCTGTTTATCTGAGGGAAGGAATTTTTCTGACATGTATAATGGTTATTAACTAACATTTAGTGGCTTGTAGTTTGGTTTTGGTTTTATTTAACATCAAAAAAGCTTTTTTATTCTTTTAGTTTTATTAAAACTGCACAGTTTTATGTGTGGCTGGCAATCCATCAAAGCAATGTATGCATGATAAATGTGTTTGTCCAAAATGAATTAAGACTATAATGCGTTGACATGTCTATTGTCAAGTTTGTATCATTAATATCTGTACATTTTTTCAATTTTTTGGGGTGTGCATAGTTTATCTTTACCCAGGGCCAAGACTGAAGATGCCCGATTTGATTAGTTGAACACTTAAAATATTAATCTGTAATAACAATTTTTCTGATATTTTAAGATAATAGTCATGTATTCAAGTTCTAAACAATACCATAATTTGAAGCAAAGATAGATGTTGACAAAGCAAAGATATCTGTTGATAAAGCAGAGATAACTGTTGACAAAGCAGAGATAACTGTTGACAAAGCAGAGATAACTGTTGACAAAGAAGAGATATCTGTTGACTGTTTTGTTTTTATACCTGTTACACTAACATGATTTATCATCTGATTTCAAATAAAAAGGGAGTTTTTCCATGAAGAATTATTTTGTTCATTACTAAATGTGTAAAAATTTTATATATATAAATATTTGGTCAACAAGTGCAGCAATGCTTATAATTCTTTAGAAATTTGGTTTACAATGTCTGTTATTTCTCCCAGTGACAAAATGTCAGGACAATTTTTTTATAAGTTTGTATCATGTCATTTCAGGTATCAGATGGAAGTAGACAGAATTAAGGAGGCAGTAAGACAGAGAAATTTAGCCAGAAGAGGCCATGCTGCCCAAATAGGTAAGAATGATAATTGATTAGTTTGTTATTCACTAGTAAGGTTTTAAACTATTAAGATCTATTTGATGTAGTAATTTGTTTGTAATTTCCAGACATTTGAGCTTCTTACACATATTTGTTTATAAATTATTACCAGTACATCTTTTCATATTTAAGTTTATAACTTCAATTCTATAGAATAGATATGTCATTATTTGTTAATGACTTCTGGCCTTTTTTATTTCAGCAAAACCAATCCGACCTGGTCAACATCCTAGTAATTCCCCAGCACAAAGTACTGGTATCCGTGGTGGTGGAGGCTCCCAGAATGGCCCTAATCCTATTAAAATAGAAGGAAAAGCATAAAGGTAATGCACTGTGATATTTTGTGTTATATTAGGTACCTAATGTTCTACCAATACCAGATTAGACAATGCTCATTTTCCGTCTATACAACCTCCTGCTTTTCATACGTATTTTTATCCCTAAGGGCAGCTTCTTGAAATTAAGATTTTAAGAATTATCGTAACCTAATTAAGTGATCAGTTAGTTTACTGAAAGCGATTTAAGCAAACTTTTAGAGAAACTCTTTATATATTTGCATTTCAAAGTATTTGGAGACGCAATGGCTTAATGTATTGGATGCTAATTGATTAACTTGAAGGTCCAGGGTTTAATTTTAACCTAGGATAGCTATACCTTCACATTCTTCAAACCAGTTTTCCCTGTCAACAATGCAGGTCTGAGGGACTGACATGAAAAAAGTGTCTTTTCATTCTCAGGGTGCATGTGCTATAGGCTCTGCATGTTATAGATTCAGGCTAATGCTGCCTTCTTGGCAAAGTTTCCCTCCCTCTCATTAACCCAATCATTTCATTTCATAATTTGTTTCATTACAGCCAAGAATTCATAAGGACCAAGTATTCAGCTGTATATATATAAAGCTTGGTGAACGTCGTAGCTATTAAATTATGGATTGTTTTTTTTTTCTGGATATCATAGCATTCCGCAGCCAACTGTGTCATATTGCTATTTATTTGTATTATACTATAGGCTGCGTGTTGTGAAAAACAATTTCAATTATTGCAATACGACTAGACTATGTACTGTGGCTAGCAACATTATATTGTAGATGTATGGCTTTATTTTGAAATTTTCATCTGAGGCCTGGAGATGTGGGAAAATTTTTGTGAGGTCAAGTATTGGTGAGAGGTATATTATCTATAGTGAGAGAAGTTACTTGTATTAGAGAAAATACAACAAAAATATGTGCTTTCAGTGTAGTTATAGAAATCTTTATAGCTTCATTAGGTGTTGGAAAAATAACTTATAATTGCCTTGGTTAGATTTTAGAATGTACCGTAAGCTTTTCTCAAAGTGTTAAACAATACCATCATATGGGCTTTTTGTATTAAAAAAAAATGAAGAAGTCACTTTCATTAGCTGGTTAATTTGTGCTGGTACAACAGTTGGGCACACACTTCAATTAATCTTAATTATGAGCAAATCATGACATTACAAACAATCAGTTGTAAATATTCTAACGTATTAATGGCCCAAATCAATAGAGTGTTTTGAAATTCTAAAAGCTGAGTTAGATGGAAAAGATTTTTAAATCTTTACTTTTGACAGAATAGTGGTTAATGGAAAAACACCCTTCAGATTTCTTTAAGGTAATAATGATGGAGTTATTTTTCGGTTTGAGTTCTATTTAAAATGGAAAGAAATCTATTCAAGGGTACAAGCTTTAGTGTAGCCTTTGGAATTTCCAAAATACTCAAAATTGGTATTAAAGCACTAATATGTTAAATATCCAAAAAAATGCTGAAACTGTTTTTGCTAAACGAAAAATTTATATCTGATTCAAAGTATATAACACAAAGCCATCAGCAAAACCTAAACATTAACTTAAAGGAACATTGACTTAAGTGTTTCAGTTGTATATTTTATCCAATAGAGATAATATAATATATTGAGATTTAGGATGAAGATTGTCTCATATTAAATTGCATTGTAATTATCTATCATGTACCTCTAGCTTTAGTTTACACTTTTGGCTTATATTTATATTGTATTTCATACAAATGAAAACTTTATGAGACACTTAAATGTAACCAAACACATGATTTTGTAAATTTATTATAATATACCCATCTTTTAGCACTTATTATTATCTATGAAAGGCTTAAATTTTGCGATTTTGAGATTTAAAGTCATATATTCTCGCAGTCCATGTATTCTTAAAACTTTGATGTCCAATGTAATGCATTTATAACTTATTCAATGTATTTATTGGAAACATTTATATATATATTATCTATTCCACTAGTGTGTATTTGTAAAGTTGGGTGTTGGCTTTTTAAGCTTTCAGTTAATATCATAGTGCACTTACATGGTTGTCTTGTAGATCTTCATAATGCTATGTTCATGTTCACACAGTGTATTGTATGGTTCTGAAAGATCTTGAAACAAAAATCTTTCTTGAAATGAAAACACTTTCATTTAAAAATGGAATGTTCCATTTTATTGCATTTCCTGACATATTGTGTATAATAAATGTAAAACATTCATTTAGTCATAGTTGTTTTTATTTGTAGAAATTTATTTATTAGTCCATTAATTTTGATCCCTCTTTAGTTCATCCAGAGTTACTTCCCTTTACCCATTTAGTAAAAGGGAACTAACTCTTAATGATCCTGATATTTTTCCATGATCTGTAAAACATTTAGCTAACTGTTCATTTATGTGTCAATGCCCTGTTACATTATGTTATTTGTGGTAATTTTAAGCTCGGAAATCAATTTAGTTTTGCTCTAGTATGCACATGGTTATAATTTGAAAATTGGTAAATGGGGAAATCTGTGGTACACCATTGGTATAAAATTACAATCATTAAAACTAGTGGTTGTTCATTGATAACCAAACAACTAAACAAACAACAATTGATGTAATTATGTCTTGATAAGGGTAGACAGATGGACATATGTAAAATATCCTCCTGGGCCTATATCTGTTTTAACTTTGTATGCTGACCAATATTAGCAATATTTATACGTAAATATAAGAACAATTTGTATTTGCACCTCAGATCAGTTGTTTCTGATATAAATATTAATTGATATGACATATAACCTGCTCTGTATGTTTTATGGCAGAAATATTTTTTTGTAATGAAATATGTTATGGCCTTTGTTCTCAACCTTTGGTAGGAGTACCCCATATCAGCTAATTACACATGGTTACCTAGGAAGCCTCTTCGAAATTTGTTAACTAAAGTGGTATTAACAGTTGATGTTGACATCTGTGTGGACTGTGAAAATTAATTTTGTATTGATTTGAGTGAGAGCGGCAACACTGGGATCTGAAAGTTCTAGAAGGACACAAAGAGTTCAGAAGGTTGGGAACCATAGTGTTATAATGATATTTAGTCTTTCACAATAACCTGCCCATTAATTGTATTATACTGTATATGTTAGCTTTTTTTCCTCCCCTTAGATTTCTACACTCCATCCTTTTGTTTATAATCTATTCAATTCTTGATGTAGCATGATTTTCTGTAGATGAAAGAATCCTTATAATGACACCAATTCTAAATTGTTTAGTCCAGAAAAAATAGCTTCATGAAAGGTTATTTTTATTGTTGGCATTTGTAATTTAAGCAATATCAACTTTTCCAACTCTGTTAGAGTGGGATTTTGATATGAAATGATTTTGGTAGACAGTGACTGTTGGCAGAGTTTTACTCTGGAAACAACTAAAGAAACTTTATATGTGTATTCTTCTATTCATATAAATAATTGCACCAAACTATCTACAGAAAAGAATTTATCTTGTATTATTTATTTGTTATGGTTGTTGGAAATTTTGGAGGTAGATCATAGAAAATTTCTTTCTCAGGCAATTTTTTGTGAGTATTTTTGCTTTTCCCTGTGTAAATTGTAATATACATTAGTGCTTAAAATGCAGTAAATATATTGAATTCATGATAGCTTTTCCTTCCTGTTGAATATTTATCATTTGAACATTTAAAACATTGACTGTCCATTCAGAAATAATTTGTAAGAATTTAAACTCATTGGCCTTATTGTAAATTTATGAATCTGAGTCCCAAATATGTACAACTCAGTTCACCAGCTACTTGTGAAGTTCAGGCTAAACGGTAATTGTTCACTAAAATTTGCTGCTGCCTGCTGATCTCATCAAATATAATATGGTTATCCAGCTTTATGTGGATCTGTTCAGATCAATTACTATTTGAGATCAGATCAGCTGCAAATGTAATTGGAATCTGACTTCACCTCAGTAAATAAGGATAATAAATAATGGTATCAAGCATTTGTATGTCCACATTTCCTTCAACTCTTGGGGTCGTATGCAGCGCTCTTACCTTGACTAAAGTTGAACTTTCCGAAGTTAGCATTAAGGCTTTCATTTTCTACATTTGATAGTCAAATTTAAGCACGACTTTTGTAAAGATCGACCGGTGCATACCTAAAGTTCGACTAAAGTCTAAAGAGCATATGGCTCTTAATCTATTTGTTGCTTCTCAGATCAGCTATTTATATTAACTTGAAAGGCTATCATTTTAGATTTTGAATTAGATTAAGCTATGTGCTGATATCACCAGCAGGAAGATCAATGAGTGCATTTGCAAATATGGGCAAAACTGAAAGCATATTTCAGAACGTCAATTCCATTCAGATTCATTTACTGTGCTTTTGCTTGAAAAAGTTAATTGTAATGTTAGCTTTTTTAGTATGAGATGAAATCTGTATAAGATACGTTGAAAATGTAATGCTTTATTCTGCACATTAAAATGATAATAAATAGCTTCACTGTGTTTTCACCATCACAAATTTCTCTGATGCTCGGATGTCGAATTTAATATCTTTTGTTGAGTAATTCAACACGGAAACTTTGCTTCCTTTGCTAGATTTCCCAACACAGAAGCCGAGCTGGTGTTTAAGTTGACTTATTGACTAACAGAACCCAAGAGTTACATCATTCAAGTTGATATACCAGTTGTTAGTAGTAGGTCAATATATTGATTTGATAGCTTTCTCATTGAAGTTGATTTCGACGGATCAGAATAATGAGATGTCACCAGCAACCATACCTGAGACCACCTTTATTTTACCCCAGGAGAAAATGCTAATATAGATATAACAAATTTCTTATGAATACTGAAGGCCAATATAAACATGAGGAGAGTGTTGTAAAACATTATTTACCACCAATGTATTCGATCTTAAACAAATATTGGCCCACTATAGTTACTCGTGAATAATCTTTACACACTGACAACATAATGATACAAAATACTTCATTACGTACTCAAACATTTAATTTCTTTTGTTGATGCAAAATACAACAGACTTGTACATCCAAAAAAAAACATCTTTGTCATTATTGGCCACTTTACAGAGGTTAAGTCTCTAAAAAAAATTGCTGCTTTACTCATAAAAAAGGCACTGGAAACAGGCCTGGATTAGAAAAGTTATTGTTTTTTGGATATACTATACACATCTGATGATAGCTTACATTATTCTGGCCTTTCCTTGTAGCCGGGTCAAGAATTTTCGTAATCCGGGGAATTACTTGAAGGATTTAGTAAGCTCACAGCCCCACTTTTCATATCATTTCTTTTTTTCATCTCCTCTATGAAAATTCCACCTCTTAAAAACTTAACAGTGTTTCCTTGAAATCGAAAAACAAATCAAGTCACTTATGAAAACAACTTATTTCAAAAGGAAAAAAAATTCAAACATCGCTGTTGCCATTGTTAAGAAATTTAAAAAAAGTGAAAAAAGACATTGAATTCTGTGTGACATAAGATGAATTTTGTTTAACTTCAAATGGAGTGTATACAAAGAATTTTGATATAATCTGTGGAATATCTCTTTCGAATTTGGATGAAAACTTGATGGTCATTCTCAATAGATAAGAAACGATATTTCGACAAACTTACAACGCCCGCTTACTGTGGTGAGAAATTAATTCTCAATGATTTTAGTGCGACTGGCACTTCAGACTGAACAAACTCAGCTGCAGGAATCATACTGTGGGAAAAACCGTTTCTAAAATAATTAACAGTAATGAAAATGATGAATTTATGAGATAAAATAAATAAAGTGTGCTTGAAAACATCTTTAACTCAAACATATTCCTAAGTTAATATGTTTTCTCTTCAATACCCTTCCAACAAAATTGAACTTTTTAAAGTGCCTATACAACATTAATAGAATGCTCAAAATTCTGAAAAATATCGGCTTTCGATTTCATTGCACATTGCGATGATCTATAATGTAAAGTAATAACGCCAACAGTGGTAAAAATGCGAAGCAATTTATGAATATAATATACATGTAGATAGAATTGTTTAAAGACTTTTTGATTTGATTGATGCTTTCGTTGAAATTATTTATCTTGCATCACCTACAGCCCGCGATTACAGGCCAGAAACGAGTGAATGAACCTGTGTAAATGTATGGGATTTAGTAATTTAATGCCACATAAGATTCGATTTTCTCACGTTTCCGTCTTCGCACGCCGTAAAACACGTTTAGTGTTTTCAACTAAAACTTTCCCATATCGTTGTGCTGTATAGTCTTCAATAAATTGTCCACAAGTCATTTCTTGAACGTCTTTACAATTTCTATAGTGATGCACTAATGCTGTGTTTCCATCAACATTTAAAGTTTTATAATGGGTTTTAATAGGTTGACTAAGGTGGTGAATTCCTAACTCAAATACCGTTTCTGGGTATACCATAAGTTTAGTACGTATATCACTTACTGTTTTCGTTCGTAATATATTAGATAACGATTTAAACATTCGCCATTCTGAAGTAACGTTTTCTGTATTTCCGTGATAGAAAGAACTTTTGAAGCGGTAGGCAGCCACACTCTTGGCAACGCGCCTATTTTGATTTTCCAAATATGCCAGCATGGTTTTCCAAGACTCGAGATGGCGTGGTATTATAAATTCATCGATATCACTTAGTGCCACGATTTGAAAATTATACATATTTCTGTAAATGCAGTCAGCAATAGATGCAGATTGACCATAACTCCATATGTGACGCACATCTGGAATATTCCACTTTAAAACTGTAACAATTCCAAGGTTTTCATAAACTTTTACAATTGATCGAATTTCAGGACCTATTTGGTAATCATAAAAGGTAAAATGTTCCACTCCAAGCAACAAGGATAATTCCATAAATTCCACAAAATGTAAAGGTTTCAAATCACCGTACAGAGGTGGAACACAGAGACAAAATTGAGACCGTGTTTTGTTAAGAGATCGGAAAGGACGGTTATTGACGGCTGTCAAAATGAATCCATCTCTTTCACTCTTTTGATCTTTAAGTTTGAAATTCCACTGCCTATTCTGCCGGAATTGTTTGACTACAGCATTAGGCACCAAACAAGACATCAAATAAAACGATGTTAGTTGCTTATGGTTTTCACATGTTTCTGAAAGCCGGATATCCGTAGCAACAGTACCGTTTTTTGCCTTTTGACTTTCAAATATACACATAAGTCCTGATTTACTCTTTGGTCTTTTCCTTGGTCCAATTGCTACAATTCTAATAAAACTGTCTCGAAGTCTGTCGTCAAAATATGAGGAATAAACATAAAAGCGCTCACCAATTGGTCTGAATTGAGATCTGACTGGAAGTGGAGCCGTTTGCTTACCATTTCCCTCTGTCTTTGGTTGATTCGCAAAAAACGGGCCCACTCCACCCTTTTCAATTAGAATATTTCTACCAACAGCTAAATTTGGTACATCTTCCTCTAACGATTCTACAACTACAGGTACTACATTCGGTTCACTCTGTCGTCTACTAGCAATATCGTCCTGGATACCCCGAATGTTCTGTCTATCGTCGGTCAAATCGTTCTTCTCCAATATTTGACCTTCGTTTAATTTTAAAGTAGATATTATGTAAAACACACAAATCACATAAAAAATTAATAACAATACCATCCAATAGCCACATTTTCTTAACATGATTAAGCGTATTTATAACTCAGGCCTACCATTCACATGATAGATTAGAATTTTCTCAGACATTTCCTAGCAGACGACGTCGAAAGTGCACTCAGCTGCACAGAAAACAACTTCAAGGTGCGCCTTCCTATTAGTATGTATACTATGTCACTCTCTGCACCTTTTAAGTATATCAAAAAGATGGCAAACTCGTGTTAAATTGTTGTTAAGTCTCCTTCACGAGTCAGAATGCCCACTTCAGTCCTTTCGTCTGTCAATTTTTCTGTTTACTTTATGTCTCGTCGGCATTCGGAAACACCCCTCTTCTGAGCTAATTTAGACTGACCGTACTCAATAGCTTTGTTGTTATTATACTGAATTGATACACGTAAAGGGGTGGTAGGTAAGTGGCAAATTTGCATAATACTAGTAATCATATCTCATCAGATATCGGGTATTCATATATCTGACGTCACAAGTTTTGATTATTAGGTCTACAAGGTCTATTGGGATCGGTTGTTCAATAATTACCCTTCCAAAAGGATTGCCTATTGATAGCGATTTCAACAAATTAGATACATGGGTTTGAAAAACATTACAGGCTTCTAGTAACAGCATTGAAACGCATGCTCTCAAAGACTGCAGGGAATTTTTTGACATGGCGACCGGAAAGGTGTTGTAGCTTTCCAGCAATCCACCTGCCCAACAATCCTCAACAACTTACGGTTATCTTTACAATCGAATATATGAGAGGTATTAATTGTACTTTTTTAGATTTCAGTCACTTATGAAAAACTACAGTTATGCAACAGCAGTTATTTGCATTACACAGTAGTCTAATTTCGACTATACATTTTTACATACCAGTATTTATTTAGTTTCATATATCATTTGTTATATTATGACACTTATCTTGTCATGTCTGTGATAAAACTATTCGTATTTTTTTTTTATACATTATCATTATTTCACTTACATTTTTTAGCGAACATGTTCTGATATGTTTAAACAGAGAAATGTGTATCGATGGTTGATTGGTAACTATTTTTTTTAGTGGAATGGGATTATCTTATTTCTTCTACAGGTCATACTCAGTATTGGCCTAATTCCCAGGATTATTTGTCTTATAACAAAGTCCTCCCTTGACTCAGTAAAGAATTATTGTTTTTAAAAATAACAATTGACATTTCTTTTGAAGGAGGGGGGAAAGGTTGATCTAAAATTACTTTTACCACTTGTTCTCCCGTTGACAAATCGCTTTCTTTGATATGAAGCCAATAAAAGTATATAGAAAAAATGTTGTTAGTCCAGGCCATATTATTCAGAACAGGCTGGTTCAACTGGTTTTCATTCAGAAATATTATTAATATCATCCAGTTTGTATTCAACAAGGGGAAATTTTTCACACATTTCTTCTTTATTCATTCTATTGATTAATACGGGAACTAAGTAATATACCGCTGGTTTAATGAAAATGTTGAACAATAACTCTGTATTAATACAACTATAAACCTCTACCCCAAACAATTTTAGACGGGTCATTCTGTGAAATATAACCACCTAACCCTAAGAAATTGATACATAAGGTTTCTCAACGGATTCTGGTAGCATTTTGTTTGCTTTATAACATACTATAAAATTCTACCAAAATGCATAGGGGACCAAATCAGGATGGCTGCCGAAAGCTTAAATTTTTTTCCACACCAACGTCTTCATGCCCACAGACTCTGTAAATGTTGATATAATTAAGATCAGGTCAAAATGAAGCCAGATGTCTGTCGCTTAAAAATTATAATAGGTCAGTTGTTTTTTAACCTATAGGAAGATGATTCTGGTGTCTATACCCAGGTTTTCATTATCTGCCAAAGCTAATATAATTCTTACAAACTGATGTATTGCTCAATTGCCTGCAAATTTCATTCTGGTAGCTTTGAAAATTGTCACGATAAAAATTTATTTTTATTTGAGCACTTCTTGTGCACCATTGTGCAGACTGCAATGGCTAGTTTGAAAACTTAAATAAAATGACCGTAACTTGTGCGTAATTGGATTATTTTGCAAAGTTGTATATTGGTCATATTTGCCTCTATGGGCAATATTCATGAAAAATGTCAAATTTTATTTCCTTATCTACGGCAGATATTTGAGTTGTGTTTTTTCCAACCTGTCCAAATAGTCCAGGTTGATATTCCCTGCAAATATCAGCCTTGTAGCTTTGTCATTTTTAAAATAAAAATTCGGATTTGAGCTCGTCTCGTGCACCATTGTGCAGACTGCAAATAGCTAGTTTTATAACCTACTGATTTTAATTTGGTATCTTGAGATTTTTTAAGTCACTATGGTCTAATTTGTAGGAAATGAGTGAAACTTGTGCGAAATTGGGTTTTTTGGCAAAGTAGGGTATTGGTCATATTTTCCTCTATGGGCTATATGTGCAAGAAAAATGCAAAAAATAAGTTTGGTTCAGCTTCTTTGGCAGGTCATAGTCAGCATGTCATTCAAACCGCAGGCAGTTGGAAATCACTAGCCTACGTTGCATCTCTTATATTGGATACTAATTATTGTTACATTTTAGATAAGGCTTCTATCAGAGTATGCTGTGATGTGTCTTCAATAATTAGGTGAGCCGCTACTCAAGCCCACACTCGTCCAGGAGGATTAAACCTGGGGTTTCAGAGAATAGGCATAACATTTCCATTTGGTGGCAAGGGTATGGAGGTCTGAAATTCCTTGATATAAAATGTAAGCTTTGTTTCCTTTCTCGTATAGAAGAAGATCCTCCAACTATCTTAATAATTCACTGTGGTGGTAATGATATAGAGAACATTAAACTTGATCAATTCAGTGATTTCATCAAAACTACATTAAAATTCTTATCAGACAGGTATTCAAAAATATTGATTAATTCAAATTACTCTTTAAGTCATGGTAATGGTATTGGTTAGCTGATATATTTATGTCTTATCTTTTCTGCAATAAATTGTTATTATTGTTATTATTATTATTATATAAACATTTATATAGCGCCATCTTTCACAAAACGTGCTCAGATGCGCTGTACAATGAGATTGATAAAACCATCAAAAATATATATGATAAAATGGACATGTAAAATGTTTAAAACATAAAAAACTAAAATCAAGGTAAAAAAAAAATAATAAAAAATTTATAAATCAAAAGCTTTCTCAAACAAAAACGTCTTAAGAAGAGATTTCAAAATTACTATTGCGCAAACTACCAATAGCTAGTTCGAAAACTTTTTTTAATTTTAATTTGGTTTCTTGATTGACCGAAACTGACCAACACTTATCTGCTAAAAAACCCAATTTAGCTGATGTTTTTGGTCTTTTCTTACTAATTTAGCCCCAGTCTATATTATATACTATAAAATTCGGTTTATATGGCCTATAAAGAGGACAATACCATTTTTCTAACCCATGGCAGATATTTGAGTTCATTTTTTTTCTCAAATGGCCAGATATTTCCTGCAAACTTAGTTTAAAGACTTATGTGTTGTTTGAAGCTGGCTAACAAATAAATACTGTTTGCCGTTTATGTGAACCTGCGCAGGTTGTCAACTGCTTCAAATCTTCTTGGTATATTGCTGTTGAGTTTCTGGGCTTGGTTGAAGGAGTGTTTTGGTAATTGGTCACGATTGTTAAGGCCAGCATGTAAGATATTATGGCTAGTTCAGAATCGTGGTCGAAGCTTTCGATGATAGACAGGATTTGATTGATTTGGCACCAGGGTACGAATGAATAATTTCGGTATCTAAAGTAGTTTTGGTTATTTGGTAGAGGTTTGACGATCCAATGATTAAGGGATGGATTCAGAATTTTAGGGTTTTGATTTGAGACTTGAACCTATGTAAATAGTCTTCAAAAGTACCAGAAATCGCATAATACAGTAATAAAAATATCTCAAACTAGGAATTTCTTTTTCTATACTATATGTTAGGGTGCATCAGACGCCCTTATGTCAGATTTTGGTGATGGCGCTATGATTTTCATGTTCTACATTCCTCCAAACCCCTTAGTATGAATTTTTATCAAATTGACGAATCGACGCAGAGAAATTTGACCTGGGATTCCACATGATTTCTTCGATTTCCACTCATATTCTTGCAATCTACTGTTGATTTAAACAAAATTGTTCCAAAACATTCAGAAACTTAAATATCGATATCAGCTGAGTTTTTATTTGTTTTATTTTTTTCGACGAATACTATGATTCCTGCAAAAGTGGAAATTAGAAGAAAATAATAGCTCTGGTTGGATTTTTAAAGGGATTGTAACGAGGTTTTCTAAATTTTGTATGTATATCGGGGACACTGATAGCATCAATTTGTACCATTCCAATTTTCAATTAGATGTTTGTGGTTCTAGCAATTATAAGTAAGCTAAGTGTTTTATGAAAACCTTTTTACTATCCCTTTAACTCGACTGTTAAATCTAGCCAATCACACTCGTAATAACCCAGCCTCTGGTCAATTTTCCAGGAAAGTTCATACTTGCAATACGTACAGCGTCTTTGCCTCATTTCTATTGTGACAATAGCCGTTTTGAGCAGTGCAACAAGAAAGGAAAATTAAATGTTCAGTTTCAGCCCGGAAATCACCCTACTATAGATGTTGATTCTTAGTTGAGTACATCGTATCACGAATACGGGTTTAACATGGTCTTATTACCCCGAGGAAGTATGACGAATGGGGTGTGAGTCTTCAGTTGTCGTGTCTTGCAGAGGGTCGATTGATAACACTGATCTGTATATGATGTATCTATGCAATGACGGTATAGGCCATGGTTATCAGTTTCGTAGACCCGGGACAGTCTCCAAAGCCAGGTGATTTGCTAAACTGTATACGCTATATCGAGTTATTTTTTCTTAATACTCCAATAAATGACAGTTACGATCGAAAGTGAAAGACAAAAATTACAAAACTAAGGCAATTTTGATATCATTTGGAGTTTTTAATGCGCATGTGTACACTTAATTTGAACCATCTTTCTTTAATAGTTTTCGAAATATTACAAATGTAAATAAAAGGTCATATTTATGGAAGCCGGCTGCGGCCATATCTACTCTCGCTTTCTCGTGGGGGCGAGGAAAAAGGCGAGAAAGCGAGGAAAAAGGCGAGAGGTATCTTGCTTTTAAACTGATAAATTGTTCAGGAAGACCGATTTTCTGGAAGTGTCATGGAGGGTACAACACTCGTCGATCTCACGACAAAGGATTCATTTCAAGTGAAATTTATAGGTATTGCGTTCAAATATGTCTTTATAGTTGAAATCGCTCTATACTGATCCTGTGGACCCAGTAGATGTTCTTCGATTCAATTGATATTTTGCATGATCTATTTATTCTTTAGGGAGAACATGTTTGGACCATCGCCATTGGGATGTGATGCACCCTACTATATATGTCTTTTCTATATTTTTATGGCAATGTTTCAAGAAAAGACGACTAGTCCTTTTAACTTTAAACGTGGATAATTCTAGAAACACATGGATTCGAAGGTCCAAATTTTGACGGTAAGCTGTGCACACTAAAACTGATTTGGTTTGATTGGTTCTGATTTTGAGTAGTGAAAAGACAGCATTGGGTAGGGACTTTGATCTGGTTCGAGGAGGAGCATAGGCGTAGGAGACAAATATCATCTTTTTGGGTATCGAACGAAAAAACCTCAGGCACGAAATCTCAACCCTTTACGACTTGACATGGCTTGCTGGTCTATGAGCAAAATGAAGAGGATGGCGGATGCTGGATGACGTGGAGAAGACTGTGAAGGCGTAGATGATGAATTAGCCCTGTCTCTATTCAAGCCTCTAATAGCTATTTGGACAGATGTCGGCTGGCGTAGAGACAGAAAAAAAGGCGCTGTTAAACGGGAACATTCCGCATCTCTGAAGGTGAGAGGGTTTTAAACCTATTTAGATACCCATATTATATTTTTGTAGTTATACCATCATTTTCTCATTTATATCACGTCTCCGGTTCCATCATTTTTAACAAAACTGATCAAGCATCTGCCATTTAAAACTGCGTGCGAAGCTAAGATTTCAAAGGTCAAAAAATTACGTTATACTAACATGACGAAAGTTACGGTGATACCAAACACTAATTTACAATCATTGTAATGGTAATTTAATATTATGTTAGAAGAAAGCTTGCCAGGCAAGATAACATACGCCCACTGGTAGCTTTGATTTTAAATAAAAATATTTAGCAGTACAGTAACAATGACCAGTATGAAATATCCAACCTTCAGTCATACACTTCTTTTGAACTCTTTAGGGCGATACTGAATAATATGGGAATGAGTTATTGCCCTTGTTCTTGAAAACGTGTTCAATTTTTAGCTCGTGAAAACTATTATTCTAATATTCAATTTTCAGCGCGGTACTGAATAATAAAACCAAGTTTTGTCAAAATTATGAATCATGCCTGTTAGTGTTTAAGAGCTAAAATTTGAAAGCGTTTTTAAGAACGAGGTCAATAACTCCTATGAAACATATTTCGATTTTTTTGATATGGGTGATAATAAACAATTTCACCAAGTTTCGTCAAAATCTGTCAAGAATTGAGCCTTTCGTCAGGAATTGTGCCTTCTAGAGTGTTTACAAGCTAAAAATTGAACGCGTTTTCAAGAACAAGGGCAATAACTCATACTAAATATTTTTCGATTCTTCTGATTTTCAATAAGGTTCATCCTTGAGTGATTACGAACACTCACACCAAGTTTCGTCAAAATCTGTCAAGAATTGTCCCTACTAGAGTGTTTACGAGCTACAAATTGAACGTGTTTTCAAGAACAAGGGCAATAATTCATGCTAAATATTCTTCTGATTTTCAATAGGGTTTATCCTTGGGTGATAATAAACACTCATTCCAAGTTTCGCCAAAATCCGTCAAGAATTGTGTCTTGTAGAGTGTTAACGAGCAATAGTGGACGGACCGACGAACGGACATGGGTGGCGGCAATATACGCCCCAATTTAATGTGGGCGTATAAAACTCCCATTTAACAGGGTATATTTTCTGACTCTACTCCAGCTGACAACAGTTACTGTTAAAATATCTATCAGAGGCTGGAATAGAGGAAGATGTTTCGGACAAATGGTGAATCTGAAAAGGAAAAGAGCAGACGTGTGCCCTCTTTGCGTGACCGTTTACCTGCGTCCACTGGCCTTAGACTGAGTGAACTACGAACTCGTTTGCGGGTCTGTTTAGATAGAGTGGTGACTCTACTTGATGTTGGCGCCTGTATCCTCTGTCTTCAGTCGGTAGTGATATGGTAACTCTAGTCTTGATTTCGTTGATGATCTGGTATAATTTAGTAACAACAAGCTGCGTTAGGCTTTTCCCATAGGAGCGACGGGCCGACGACAGGGCATTGGAAATGACTGATGACTGTTAGTGGTGCCAACTTTTCAAGTTTGTTATGATTTTTGGAAGCTGTTAAAAGAAACTACTGATTTTAGTTCAATAAACGTCTGATCGCAGAGCAATATGTCTCCTACGTATTCAACTAATAATATCGAGCCATTATAAAGCCAAATAACCAAAATTATGTCAAACTACTTAATTAACAATTAGTACTCAAGTAGATACATAGATATAAATAGCATACTTTAAAAATATTTTCAGGTATAAATTACGTTTTTAATAATGAAAATTTGTCTTACTGACCCTTTAATATGTATATACAATATTTTTCATTTTAACGCCGAAAAAGCTGCTACGGCGACGGAGAATTAGTTCAATTAATGTTAAGCTCGCCATCAGCGCAGTATTAGTGTGAAGGAAGCGTCTGATACCTCACGGTAGGCGCCATTATCGCCAATAATCGCCGTTGAGATCGAGTCGAGTATTTAGACAAGCGTCGTTACATGTACATTAAAAAAAAGAAGTGTTTATTAGAAACGCACCATAGGAACGCAATATGGTGGCATATTTCGCAGGTTGATAGCGACTGCTGTAGAATTTGTAATTTCAATCGAACGTTTTCTCGTGTTTTAATCAGGTCGGTCGCCGTAAAAATGGTCTCAGTTACATTGTAAAATATTCATATGATCATAGCAAATTCAATGTGACCGATAGTAGGTTTACATCGACAACCGTTACAAGCAATTTTTGAAAACAGCATTCACCCAATCTTTTGGAAAACATAAACGTCGCAATGTACAAAGAGATATCCAGTAGGGTGATCAAGAAAAATTTTCTCGATTCAGTCATTTACGTTCACAAAGATTTTACTGAGGACCATTTATGTCACAATGTACCAAAGTATCCATTATCGATCCTACGAGAAGTTTGTTCTTATAAACATAAGCCACAGAAGAACCGGTTATTAAATCACCATGGTCGTAGAATAGTTCGATGGTATCTGTGATGATATGATCCTTGGTTTTTAATTGCAAAACCTGAAATAAAGCACGAAAAACTCAAGTCTACCACAAAGTCTTACACAAACTTTTTCAGATATGAATTTATATTTCCTGAATTGTTATTTGTACAATATGGAACTGCAAACTTAAATTAACGAGGGAAGAAAGTTGTACAAGAAGGCAGTGCACAAAGACACACACGTTTGCGTTACGCAACTGAAAGCAAGACATGAAAGTAGAAAAAAGAGATTTTTGATGCGGTCCACTGAAATCCACTTCTACCCAAAACAAAGAACACAAATTATATTGTATTATGTACTTACCATTGATGGTGCCCTCTCAGAAGGGTATGTAAGATGGTTCAGTATCCTATATCCTATAGGATGAGTACCAACATACAGATCTCCCGTACTATGATCTATTAGTATGTTATCAGGTATTGCGTTTAACTCATAAACCTTTCAATAGAGATAACAAAAAGTTTCAGGGGACATATAAATCATAAGATACTCATTCTGTTTGTCACAAATTGAAATTTTGGCTATCTTTCCAAATTGCAATCCATAAATCAAGATCCACCCCTCGGCAAAATCGATGAGATAGACCTGAAAAGGGACAAACATCCATCTGAGTAATCGCCCTCTGCCCAGTGCACTGCACACTTTAAGACACTGTTTGATGTCACTTATCACTACTTATGCTTTATCCCATGAGGCCCTTCGCTAATAATGACGTCATCAAACCCTTAGTTTAGTGGAATTGAAGGAATCACGGACGTCTTACTGAAAATTGGAATGGTGCAAATTGATGCTATTAGTGTGCCCGATACACATATTTTTTACAATGAAATTTCTACAGACAAAATGAAGTATTTAAATTCCTAGATGTGAGATATTGATCGATGTACTAAATGATGCCAGACTAACTATACCTGCTGAAGTGTAAGTTCGTTATTCTTTTCTCTCTTGTAATTCATGATAGAAGAATCTAGATTAGAGGCGATGTATACATGACTACAACAAAAGAACCAATCCAGAATTTTATTAAACCAAAACTGTGCTGAAGAAGGATCTAACAGTTTCATTCGTGAGATTTTCCCTTTAAAATGTTTGATCACAAATAAAGCTGTGTGTGTTATGTTTCTATGTAATTAAACAAACTATATTATGTAGTCAACAGTCAAGATGTTCAAATGGTATATAGCTGAAATTTGAAAGTGTGGCGAAAATGCTGAAAAGAATTAAAAGTCAAAAAAGCATTTAGATGCAGACGTTAACCATCTACCGATTATTCCGATGATCAAAGACACGAAAAAACACGATTTCAAATATTGAAATTGATACAAATCATTCAAGTAACAGAATTAATAATCTTCTGGAGCGTTTACAAGAAAACATGAATAAACTGCAAGATATTTTCCACAACAAAGGACAATAAAAGTTACCTTTGATCATGCGACATATAGATACCATTAGATATTGGCATCTTAGTTAACACATCCCTGAATACTGCTCCATCGTAATATACTACGGTCGTCCATCGAAATTGTCCTAAATACTGCATCAACGCCAGCAGTTTGTTAGGTCCTGGTGCAAAGTTGGTAAAATAAAATGTATTAACACCCGTGGCTTGTACATCATTCAATCTGAATAATAAAACGTTAAGTGACTTGCCAGAATAGGATTTAACCGAACTCTTTTCAAAAACGATATAGTCGAATGCTTAAGGGTCTTGGATCAAAGTTGTGACTAACATAGAATATTTTGGGGCATTGAGGTCGTTCCAGTTTCGCAGAAAGTGGATACTGAACTAATTTGGCTATTTCTCTTACTATTCAGAATAAAAACCTACTTGAGCATTGTGGTATTGTCTTGATATCTATAAATGTGTTTTAAAGACTGTTTATCAGTGAGGTAGAGAAATTTGTCTATAGTTTCTCCAGCACTAAGGTCATGATTTACAACAAATAAATAACGTTTTCCTGAAATACCAAAATAGGTCTGATAAGAATTGTTTGTAAATGAAATGTCGAAAATTGCCTAGGGTATTCCAAATGTATACTTTTCAACTATCACTCTACTGTGAAAGTCCAACTAGCGCTCTGCAACATATAATCAGCCTTATACGGAACATGTCGAGAATTAACGAATGCCAACTATCGACAGGTAATATATTCCGATAAATGTTTGCCAACTTGCCGTTTTCAGAAAAGTTGTTCTTCACCGTAAATCTGACATGAAAACACATAGTTTCAGTTTTCTGTAATCAGAATGCTAGAATTGCGTGAAAATGTTATCATTCATGATGGTTCTATAAGTTGGAAGTCGAAAAGAGCAGGCTAATGCCGCTGACCAGGCAACATTTCCTTCATGGTACACTGCATGGCGTTGCTCATTTTCATTGGCCCACATGGTGCAGAAAAGTAGGACGTAAAACTCCATTCAGTTCCTTTCTTCTTATTTGCATTCAATATAATTTTGGGATATTTTTAATTTCCTAACCTGTTGTTTCATCGTCCCACCCACTGATTCCGTGAGGTGCAAATGAGGCTAATTTAAAATCATCTGACTCTTCTATAGATAACTTCTGAGCTTGGCCATTCTGTTTATTGAAATCATATAAATAGATGTTACCGGTCACGTTATTAGTTTCTACGAACTTCAACATAGCTTCATGATCATGTTCTCTCAACCGGAATCCCTAGAAGAGTCCAAATCAAAGATATGTAATCAACATTCCAATGCCAATTGTATATCAATGTTTGTGACATCGCTAAAACAAAAATGTTCTTCCCCGTTTTTCGAAAAGGGTAAGTTCCACTCATCTGAGTGCCACAGAGTCACTAGGCTGAATTTTGAACAGCAGCCGTGGTGGGAAGTCAGGTCGCATTCCAATTTAAAATTTCTTAATGAGGGAAGCCAGGGAATGGAAGTGAAAATAGAATTCATCTTTTATGGCCGAAAACCTACTGCCTAAATACTCAACCGTGCACAAGGTACAATCAATTAATAATTAAGTGGGCGAGGGATGGGTTTTTCTTTTTAAATCTCAAATAACTTGTATTAAATAACCCTTTCTCCCAATTCATTATAACTATAGACTGCGCGTAGAATCAAAGATTGTTCAGGCTTACAGAAGTTATGAAGGTCAAACCATCTCGAAACACGTGAAAATCTTCAGACCCTACTCCTGAAACAGAAATAGATTAATTAAAATAGTATATTACCAAAGGATGTAGGCTAATATAGGTCAGTTGTGTCTGAGGGTCGCACAGCGGAAGCTATATTATCATAAATCATCGTTTTAATTATAATCATAGTTCATCGTTTCAAATATCATCATTAATCATCATCATAGATCATCGTTTTAATTATCATCATAGATAATCGTTTTAATCATCATCATAGATCATCGTTTTAATTATTATCATAGTTCATCGTTTCAAATACTATCATTGATCATCATTTTAATCATCATCATAGCTATCGTTTTAATTATCATCATAGATCATCGTTTTAATCATCATCATAGTTCATCGTTTTAAATATCATCATAGATCATCGTTTCAATCATCATCATAGTTCATCGTTTTAATCATTATCATAGATCATCGTTTTAATTATCATCATAGTTCATCGTTTTAAATATCATCATAGATCATCGTTTCAAATATCACCATAGTTCATCGTTTTAAATATCATCATAGTTCATCGTTTTAAATATCATCATAGTTCATCGTTTTAAATATCATCATAGATCATCGTTTCAAATATCACCATAGTTCATCGTTTTAAATATCATCATAGATCATCGTTTTAAATATCATCATAGATCATCGTTTTAAATATCATCATAGATCATCGTTTTAAATATCATCATAGATCATCGTTTCAAATATCATCATAGTTCATCGTTTTAAATATCATCATAGATCATCGTTTCAAATATCATCATAGTTCATCGTTTTAAATATCATCATAGTTCATCGTTTAAATCATCATCATAGTTCATCGTTTTAAATATCATCATAGATCATCGTTTTAAATATCATCATAGATCATCGTTTTAAATATCATCATAGTTCATCGTTTTAAATATCATCATAGTTCATCGTTTCAAATATCATCATAGTTCATCGTTTTAAATATCATCATAGTTCATCGTTTCAAATATCATCATAGTTCATCGTTTTAATAATTATAATAGTTCATCGTTTTAAATATCATAATAGATCATCGTTTTAATCATTATCATAGATCATCGTTTCAAATATCATCATAGATCATCGTTTTAATCATTATCATAGATCATCGTTTTAATTATCATCATAGTTCATCGTTTCAAATATCATCATAGTTCATCGTTTTAATCATTATCATAGATCATCGTTTTAAATATCATCATAGATCATCGTTTTAAATATCATCATAGTTCATCGTTTCAAATATTATCATAGTTCATCGTTTTAATCATCATCATAGTTCATCGTTTTAATTATTATCATAGTTCATCGTTTTAAATATTATCATAGATCATCGTTTTAAATATTATTGTAGTTCACTTTGCGGCGCCTGACTCCTGACATTGGGGGTACAAATAAGAGTCAAAATGACATAATAGAGAGACAACTGTCGAGATCAAGATTCAAAATGTGGTAGCTCCGTGGAATCGCAAAGGCACAATTTCAACAAATCTAAAGTCTACCCTTTTCTCCAAAATATGTGTCAGAATGCACAAAATAAATTCATTTGTTCTAAAAAATTTCTTAACACCCTCTAAAACGGTCTATGAAAGGCTGTAACTATGAAACAGAGTAGCCAAAATTTGAATTCAGCCTCAGCAGTTGTCTCCCCATTGAGTCACTCTGCTCCCTATTTGTACCCCACTGTCCTTAGGAGCGTCTAAGTGGGTACTCCAAAGAAAAATATTTGGGTACAATTGAGGGAACAAATCATTTTTCTCACCACTCTCCCGTACCTCTACAGGCGCCGCCATTGATCGTTCACTATTTTAACGTTTGTATACGTATATAAATTTCACAGTTCATCGTTTGAATGTTTTTATACAAAAATTATCACTCTTCATCGTTTCATTACTTAAAATGATTACTTATCATCGCTTCATTGTTTACATATTGCATATTTCACCATTTTAATTATTGTATATGTATAAATGTTATACTTCATCGTTTGAATTTTTATACACATAAATTATCACATCATATCATTACTTAAATAATATTATGGTTTATCGCTTGTGGCGATTCTAGGAAAAATCAGGTGAGGGGGCCGAGTAGGGGCCAACAAAATCTGCAGTTGGCCACAGGCAATTCTTTCACTTTGTAAAATGATAAAAAATTGGAAAGTCAACCCCCGCAATGTTAATGTAATCTTTTTATAAACGATCTCACTGTCAAAGTATTGATTTCAACATTAGTTGTAGGGGCCTATTTAATTCGAAATAATTTAACCTTACATCCAAGCTACACAATAGATCAAACGTGAGTTGTTTACCTATTCCTTTAACTCTTTCACATCGTCCAGGATAATGTTTATTAAACTGTGTATACAATCCTAGTTTCCATCTGAAATATTACTAAAAAAGTATAAATGAATCATTGTTGATACTGACATAAGTCAGGTATAGCTAAAGATATGGTTTAAATGTGTAACAAAAAATTAGGTTCAAATCGCTACTCTTTCCAAGTCAGTCGAATAACATATTTGTTTCACTTGAAATGACTCGTTTGATAGGTTTTATTTTGGACATTTTGGCTGATACGAAATCATCTTTCAGGGGGAGGAATTGCCTGAGAGCCCCTTAGATAATTTTGTGAACTTCGCCTGATTGATAAAAACGCCACTGAATTACACTGGGAAAATAATATACAAATATCTAATTATACTTTGTGCTATATTTGTAATAAGTTATATACTTACATGAATATGATGATCGGGTGAAGAATGACTGCTAACACTGTTATGATTGCTATCTTGATAATCATTTTAACAATCTGAATTACAATATGTGATATATAGCCTAGCTTTTAACCCACACCGCTTTGATTTTCTATTTCACTCAATCTGGGTCATATTATATATTGTGAATAGCGTATAAAGCCTATTACACATTTCTGAATATCCAAAATATTTTATTGAACAGAACTCGTATTGATTAAGTTTTTTGGGGTCTTTTAGTATTAACAAGCAAATATTTAATGTTTTGCTAATTTGGAATGACTCGCATACGAAATATCAAAACTTACAACCCTCGAACGAATTACGGTGCAGCCTCAAGAAGGTTAACAATCGGCTTTAATTGTTGTGAGTCGCGGTCCAGTGGTGTAAAAGTAGACCTTACTCATTCAACCAACCATTTATTCATTTCTATTTCAAAATCTTAACTCTTTTGGTTGAAACGAATAATAATTACCGTTCAAATTAGCCTACAACCTCTTCTCCTTTTCTCTGAAAATAATGGTCCTGGAAATTTGAAATTGATAAAGTATTTATCAATTGTCTCTAAGTATTCATAAACAAAATTCCTAAAATATGGATTACTCCCTCTTCTTATAGAATATTAATAGAATAATGAAGTATTGAATAACAAAACAATGTTGATAAAAATTGTTAAATCTGTGTACAAAATGAACAAGAAATTATACACAAATTATTTGTTATTTGCGCACACCTCCTTTCACAAAATTCCTAAAATATGGATTACTCCCTCTTCTTATAGAATATTAATAGAATAATGAAGTATTGAATAACAAAACAATGCTGACAAAAATTGTTAAATCTGTGTACAAAATGAACAAGAAATTATACACAATTATTTGTTATTTGCGCACACCTCCTTTCATAAAAGATGTACGTTGTTAATTTAATTGTTTTTAATTACCGAAATTATGGTTTTGACACTACACCATTTTGACTACGCATTTGCTTATAAAAATGTACAAACTATGATAAGCCTTTATCTTCAAGCCTACTGTCTGCAAAGAGATGAGATAGAGTCTGGGTGGCAAAGTCTATTCTAATATGTTTGAGGGTACGGTTTGAAACTCTGCTCTTCAGACAAGGAGGTTAAATTGTTCAAATAGAGAAAATGGCTGATTCTGAAATCACGTTGGAAAATTTACCAAAACTTAAGGTGTTATTTAATTCTGTTATGTTTATCTTTGAAGGCCATTATATATTTAGAATACACAATATGCGTACCTCATAATTTATGAGCCTATGCCCGTCCAAATTTTACTAACTGTCCAATCATGTACCCACAATGTTTACCGAATCGAATTTTCTTTCCACTACTTCGGCCGCAAGACATGCCGGACTAAGACAACTCGGACCAATTATGAGACAATTCGGACCGAATATGAAGACTACTATCGGACAAAGTTGCAAGAAAACTTTTGGAAAGGCCTTGACCAATTAATATTAGCAATGACGATGTTGTTCACTAACCTAACCTACTAATTAAAGTGATACTACGTCTTAGAATGATCTTAAAATCATCAGTTAGCTTACCTGGTGTCATAAAGTTACAACAGTGTCCCTGTACAATCTGTTAAATTGGATAATTCATAAAACTAAGTATTTATTGAAAAACGCTTAATCTTGATATTACGTGTTTTTCAATAGTTAATTGCATATTTATGGATAATTACTAAGTTTTTTGGATTTATCGGATTATATAAGGATCCTGTTATGTTATTTATGACACCAGGTATATCTACTAGCTCTTATTCGCCAAGTTTAAAATTCTTCAATTTTATGTTAATTCTAAGACGGAGTATCACTTTAAATATTTTACTCTCATCAAGGAGTAATATGAAGGTTTAAAGGACGATAATATTGATCCAGGAATTTCAATGATAAAAACTTTGTAAATACATTGTGAGATATATTCCATCAAGAATACCACATGAAACACTGATCATTGACCTAAAAGACTTTTTATTACCTTTCTGATGATTCTTTGAATTACAGACAATATCCATTTTGATTCTTAGTGATAAGTAGTATTATAATTGGTCTGAGTAGTCTTTGATTTCATTAGGCCCATTTCAAACAGTTTGGAAATTGAATTAAAAGGTTTAAAATCACGTTTTTATTTGTCAAATCCACCAAATTCCTAGTATGGAATACTAAAAATGGGTCCTAATTTATGTTGTAGGTAGCCGAATTAAAGAAAGCTTGTAAAGATCAAGGTTTACCTGTATCTGGTACAAAGGCTGAATTACTCACCAGGCTACAAGAATCATTACAATTACAAGGTGAGTACCTGGTGTAATTGAAGAAACTCCTGTACAGGTACAAAAGAAGTATTATGTAAAGGAATTGTACCAAATAGAGGTCCTGCTCTAAATCTAAACCTCAAGCTCCAGATTTTGAAAAATTTTAAATTATAAGTTAGATAAGATTTGAACTTTGAATTAAATCTATTTTGTCACTTTGAGAGCACTTGTGAGATGTGAGATAAGGATATAGAAAAAGTAATTTAGAGGACTCTATTTCTCACTATTTTGTCCGTTTTGATTGCATGGAGCCCAGGTATTTTGAATTAGTATCAATATCTAAACCTACAGTTTGCTGCTTATCATTGTATTAGATTATTATACAGAAAAGAACACAGTTGTAAAAAGGCATCAGCTGTTCCAGTCCGAATATGCCCAGATCTCTTTGAAAGTTAGACTCCCTATAACACTAATTTTTTGTATTATTATTTTAGTTACAGAAGAAGATGGAGTAGATGAAGGTACAATTTTATAAAAACATTTAAAATTACAATTATTTTGCTAATATTATTTCATGATTGAACTTCAATTAATTAAACTTTCAAATATATTTTAAATTCTATTCATTTTTATTCAGTGATCTTATCAGTAAAAGCTATGCATTGAATACCTATTTTAGAGATATATTCATTCTTCAGTATTTTCTAGGAAATGACTAAATTAAATGTCATTTAAATTGAAGATGGGTTTCCTTATTTTTTAGTGTCAAATTAAGCAAACTATTTGATTAATTGGTGTTTCTAATGAATTATCATGTGTTCTTAATCAAATCATTATGTTCTTATTGCATATAATCAAGAGTTTTAACCAATCATAAATGTCCATGTATGTACAGTCTGGATATACAAAAAAATACTTTTCTTGATCGGTCACTCATTGGAATTCTGCTGGTCATCCTCTTCTAATTTAGCTAATTATGAATTAATTATGGACATGTGAGACAAACTGGTATTTTTCCAAGTCATTAGAACGCCTCTATTTTCTATTCATATAAGCATTTTCATAAATTTAAATAAGGGAACCCATCTTTAAATGCCATTTGTAAAGATAAGATTACATTTATGTTAAGATTAGTTGGACACTACTTAAAAATCAATCTGTTTTTATAGGAGATGATTCTGAACAAGATATTAATTTAGAAGATACACTTGAAGCAGAGGTAAAATATTTTCTCTTTAAGTATGACTGGGTTAAGTATAAGTTCGTCTAAGTCCAGTTACTTAACATAGGGATCTGGTATTTGATAGGTTACATGGTAGAGAAAGTATTGCCAACTCTTCAAGACAGGTCAGAGGGGTTAACTTGCAAAAAATGGTTAGCTATCTGTGACATGGAGAAGTGCCTGGTGTGTTTTTTGATTTGAACATGTGTGTTGATTTTAAATTTCATTTGACAGGCATCCATTGAAGAAGATAGTAAAGACAATATTTCTACAGAACCACCAATCAAGAAAATAGTCCTAGATAAAGAGTAAGTATATAGATTATTGTTATCGAAATGTCAATTCTTTTTTTCTTCGAACGCACTGCTTTGTTTTGCAAATGAAATTTTTTCGATTTTTTACATTTATCAGCTTTAATACTGATATGATATTGCTCAAACTTTACTGTTTATTACTTTGCGCTAATGACTACCAGAAAGCAATTGAAAAAATCCACAATTTTGACTTTTGTCGCTGACTTTTAAGCTCCAATTTTAGAATTTTTTAACCTTTTTTCTAACTTCTACAATTCTTACATAGAGATAGACACTTTTATTGCGAACAAAAACTAATTTTCGAAATTTCGATATCACTTCCGGTTTTGACGCTATTCGCTTGTAAAATATAAAATTCAACTTCCGGAATTTTGAAGATATTTCTAAAATTCTTTTTGCAATATGTTACAAATGGTCATACAAAACAAATCATAAAATCCAACCCGGATGTAACAGAGTAGTCGCCATATTGATATGTCAAACTTTTGTAAAATTCAAAATGGGGCCTCATGGTCTAAAGCGCTTTTCATAATTTTCGTATATCTGGATATCACAATTGATTGCGAAAAGAAATTTGGAAGCAGATTTTTGAATTTCGATTTTGCTTTTCTTTTATTTCTGGTTAAAATTTTTCAGTAATGTCCAAAATTTCAAAGGCTCATATTTTGTGACCTTGACCTTTGGTGACCTTGTGGCCTGAACAAAATTTGTCGCTCTTGATGATATCTATCCAGTGATATACTCATTTGTGCTGTGCAATGTTTACTTCTGGTTTTATAGCCGATTGAAAGTTACGATTTTTATCTTCAAAGAGCTCTGACACGTGACCTAATTTACATACACCAAAAATTCTTATTGAATCTTACTAGTGTTCATCTGTCCTTTGTAATGATATATAACACTTCTTCTATAGTAACTGTGCGTAATTTTCTTTAAATCGAAATGGGGCCTCAAGGTGTAATCCAATTGGTGTAAATGTGATATCTATGGTATCTGCTATCGATTGCTAAATAATATTTGAGAACCGATTTTTGAATTTTGATTTTGTTTTTTATTTATTTCCGGTTGAAAAATATGAATACTTTGAAGGGTCGTATATCATGACCTTGACCTTTGGTGATCATGTGACCAGAACAATTTTGATAGCTCTCGACGAGATCTATCCAATAGTATATTAACGTTTATTGTACGGTGTTTGCTTACGATTTTATCGCCATTTGAAATAAATGAATTTTATCTTGAAAAAGTCGGTTTTCCTCTTGTAAGTTTTTTAGTGGTCTAAACGATAAAGGTAGTCTGCTCCCTTCAACTGTTGTTGAATGCAATGTTAGGTGAAGCGATCTGTCGAATATGATTTGCGTTTGGGCAATCTATATCCAGTTAATTATGATAGGAAATTATGTTACTGTTACGATACTTTGCGGCACAGTTTTAAGCGTGAAATCAAAACTGTTACGCACTGCTTCAGAATCACGCGAAGCCTGTGGATCTAGTTGCAGTGCGATATTCGAACGTAGGACAAAATAAATTTTTTACGTTTTTTCTAATTTACGGCTCCAATTTTGATCGGATTATGATCGATCTTTTTATGTTAATAAGTTCGCGCTAACGGCTATAAGATAGAAATTCAAAAATTTTAAAATTTCAACTTTTGTCGCTGACTTTTTTAGTTTCAATTTTTGAGGTTTTTCACCTTTTTTTTAACTTCTACAATTTTATTTCGATCGATATGAAAACTTTCAGATAGTTAGACATTTTGATTGCGAACTAAAATCAATTTTCAAATTATTGATATCACTTCCGGTTATTCGCTTGTAAAGTTTAAATTTCAACTTCCGGAATTTTGCAGATATTTTAAAAATTCTTTTTGCAATTAGTTAGAATAGTCCCCATAAAGATGTTGGAATGAATAAATTTGACCCAGAAGTATAGGATCAGATGCCATCTTGATACGCCTAATTTTTATAAAACTTACAATGGGGCCTTAGGGGCAAAGCCGATGTGTGTGATTTTAGTGTCTATAGAATCTTCAATCGATTGCAAACAAAATTTTGAAAGCTGATTTTTGAATTTTGGCTTTGCTTTTTTTTAATTTCCGGTTTTATTTTTTCAGTAATTGTCAAAACTGTTAAGGCTAGTCACCCTTGGTGACCTTGTGACCTGCACAAATGTTGTGGCCCCTAACAAGATCTATCTAAAAATATATATACCTTTGTCACGCGATGTTAACTTCCGGTTCTATAGCCATTTGAAAATCGCAATTTTTATCTTTAAAGAGCTCTGTCACGTGACCTAATTATCGTAAGACAAAATTTATTTTATTTCCTTAATGTGTGCGATTTCTCCTTTCTGAAGATATATCACACTTGATATATTGATCAATGTTGCGCTTTTTAGAATTTTAAAATTTTAAAATTTTACACTCACGACTATAGTAACTGTGCGTAATTTGGTTTTTGCCATGTAAACTCAAACTTTTAACGTATAACAACGAATATCTAATGATCTAATAATTGTAGATGCTTGAAATTTTCAACACATAATAGCAGACATAGCAAAATTTTGGGGGTGGGCGTAGCACATCCGGGTTAGAATTACATATATATTATATATTTGTAATTTATCATAACTTGCAAAGTATACTTTTTTCACCGATAATATTTTGCAGGAATATAGGTCACCAGTTTGGCCAATATCGTAGGAAGATAAATCTGTTTGGGCTTTTTACTTTTAAAAAAGGAATGGGTTTTACAATAGACTAAATTTTTATTTTTGACCTTCATCTTTGATGACCTTGATCTTTTCAAGGTCCAAAGTCATTGATCTATAATGTCAATTCATGTTTTGATCTATGATGTCTGACACCTCTTTCCGGTTTTATAGGCTTCCAAAAACAGCAATTTTCAAAACTTTTAAGGCTCATATCTCGTGACCTTTACTTCTGGTGACTATTTCGCCTGAACAAAAGTCATAGCCCTTGATGACATCTATCACATGATGCCTTTAATTTTGTTGTACGATGTTTACATCCGTTTTTATAGCCATTTGAATATTGCGAATAAGACTTTAACACAAGCCGCGTGCCAGGAATTTTCTTAAATGGTTGGAACATGGATTCCTATATTTCAAAATTTCTAAATATTGAAGAGACTGATCCAATTCCACACAAGAAAATCAATTCTACAAAAGTACTTTTTAATTTTTTTAAAAAAGAAATTTAAAAATGTGTTAGAATTGTATATGCTCTAGTTTTTTTTTTTTTTGATTTTTCCACAGGGCTTCGTCAGCTGCATCAACATTTCTACATCTGTAGACCTTCTGTAGTTGCAACGTTGTTAATGAATATTGATTGGAATATTCTTGCAAAACCGGAAGTGCTACAGGTCAACATGTGCGAAAATCGGCTCTAGAAGGCACATTTTTGCTGCCAAAATTCGACGCTCACTTTTTTCGATCAAATTTTTCATTTTTTTTGCAACTTTTTTGTTTTTGCATCGATTGATCTGAAATTTTAAGTGCAAAGATAATGTTGATAATATGGTACAGTCAAATTTTGTATGTCATTTCCGCTTTTAAACAGGAAAGCGACTGAATTTTTAAATCTACTTCCGGTTGAATAACTTCCGATGTAATTTATGTAGGTCAACAAAATTTTTGTGATCTTTAGCAAATAAAATTCTATGGTCGATTTTAAAATAAAATCCAGACCGAAAGTGATTCTTTTGCCGCCATTTTGATATGACAGATTTTTTTAAACGCGAAATTCAGCCTCAGGGTTAAATTGGATGTGTGTATATTTTATGTATATGTCAATTTCAATCGATTGCACAAAAAACTGTGGAAGTCTATTTTTGAATTTCGCTTTTGCTTTTTTGCAATTTCCGGTTGAATTTTTTCGAACTTTAAACGCTCATACCATGTGACCTTGACCTTTGATGATCTTGACCTTTATACGGTCTCTTTGAGCTTGGTGTATGTATATCTTATGACTTATTTGATGTAGAACCTTGAAATTTGGAATACAACTAGACACTTTGAATATGAATTCACCTATGACAAAAAGAATTGATGTGGGCGTGGCACATCCGGGTTGAATTACTAATTGTTTACATTTAGGGGCAGGGGCATAACTCGCACAGGATGCTTTTGTTCAAAAAGGGACTTTGCACACAATTCCCTCATCCTTTTGGCCAGTTTGTGTTAATAGCTCAGTTGTTTCAGCTTAATAGTTCCAAAAAATGAACAGGTTTTAACATTTGGATATTTTCATTTTTAGATTTTGACCTTTGTTGACTTTTATTGACCTATATCTTTTGACCTGTATGATGTAGAAGCTTGAAATTTGGTACACGACATTACATTTTAAATGTCAATTAACATATATGTCAAATAAATGAGGGTTAAATTACTCATTATTAACAGTTTTGGCCTAACGCATAACTCACAAATTATACATTTGTTCAAAATGGAACTTTGCATACTATTTGCTGTCCTATGTCAACTTCCGGTGCAATTCGAAATTTTAATGACTTATATCTCTTGATCTTGACCTTTTTAGACTTTCTCCTTTACAAGATCAAAGGTCATTGACCTTCGCTATCTGCTGATATTTTCATTTGTGAGGTCTGGCGTCTACTTCCGATATTAGAATCTTCTAAAAAATGAAAATTTCTCAACTTTAGACTGTTCTTGCACTTGACCTAATTATCGTCGAAGGTCAATTTTTACAGGGTCTTTAGCAAATTGCTACATTTGCAAAGTCTCACTCTGTGCCACGTGTGGTTCTAGTTGTATTTACTTTACTAGCTGAAAGAGTTCATACACTTGGTACCTTGATATCAATCATTACACATATCAGAAATCTATTGATTTCAGGTGTAACAGTTAAAATTAGCATTTTTATACGCCCACATGAAATGGGGGGGGCGTATATTGCCATCACCCATGTCTGTCCGTCTGTCCACAATTGCTCGTAAACACTCTACAAGACACAATTCTTGGCGGATTTTGACAAAACTTGGTATGAGTGTTCGTAATCAGGATGAACCCTATTGAAAATCAGATGAATCAAAAAATATTTAGTATATATATAATATATTGCCCTTGTTCTTGAAAACGCATTCAATTTTTAGCTCGTAAATACTCTAGAAGGCACATTTCTTGACAAAACTTGGCATGAGTGTTTGCTTTCACCCAAGGATAAACCCTATTGAAAATCAGAAAAATCGAAAAATATTTAGTATGAGTTATCGCCCTTGTTCTTGAAAACGCTTTCAATCTTTAGCTCGTAAAAATTCTAGAAGGGACAATTCTTGATGGATTTTGACGAAACTTGGCATGAGTGTTTATCATCCAATGATAAACCCTGTAGAAAATCAGAAAAATAGAAAAATATTTGGTATGAGTTATTGCCCTTGTTCTTGAAAACGCGTTCAATTTCTAGCTTGTAAACATTCTAGAAGGCACAATTCTTGACAGATTTTGACGAAACTTGGTGAATTGTTTATTATCACTCATGGATGAACCCTATCGAAAATCAAAAAAATCGAAATATGTTTCATAGGAGTTATTGACCTTGCTCTTAAAAACGCTTTCAAATTTTAGCTCTTATACACTTGCCAGATTTGGACAAAACTTGGTTTTATTATTCAGTACCGCGCTGAAGATTGAATATTTGTCTTCTAGAGTTTTCACGAGCTAAAAATTGAACACGCTTTTAAGATCATGGGCAATAACTCATACTCAATATTATTCAGTATCGCCCTAAAGAGTTCAAAAAAAGTGTATGACTGAAGGTTGAATATTTCATACTGGTGATTGTTACTGTACTGCTAAATATTTGTATTCAAAATCAAAGCAGCCAGTGGGCGTATATTATCTTGCCTGGCAAGCCATCTTTTTTATACAATGAAATTTGACAAAAATTTCTTACTGGTCAAAAAAATAAATTGAATTTATGTTTTTCGTCTGTATTTTGTAGTGATTCAGGTGAACCCAAATCAACTGAGGCTAAAATTGTTATATCTAAAGGCCTGACAGATGAAGAGGTAATGTCTAAAATCATTTCATTCACTGATGTCATTTTAAAATTGCAAAAATCATTATTTTTTAGGGTTGATTTGGGCCTTAAATATATCTAAATAGTCTTTAGAAAGACATGAAGGCATAATCCTCTCAAATATAGAATTATACCTTATATTTCACTATCTTGTATATTGAACAGATCTAATATAGAAAATACAGTATGTACATGCTCTAGTGAAAATGACTAACTCAATGTGATGTGAAGTAAATCTAACCTCAAGCTTAATGCAGCAAAATAATTATAAAAAAAACCATTTATGGATTTAACTGCTCTTATACATGGTGAAGTCTCAAGAAAAGACATCAATATAACTTGATAACACAGATAAATTATGGATGTGGATAAGAAGGCTAAAATTCTGATTGAAAGCTGTAAACACTATTACTGATTAGCTTAGCTAAACAATATTGTTTCTGCTCCTTATTATCGTAATCCAACAATAAGTGATAGTAAAAACCTCAGTGTGATTAAAATTTAGAAGATGACTGATCTGTAGTGATCAACTTTCTAGTCAAACAATTGTCATCATTGTGATTTCAGAGGTTACAGAAAAGAGCTGCCAAGTTTGGAGTACAGTCGGAAGATGCAAAAAAAAAATCGAGAGCTGAAAGGTTTGGTATTGTAGATAAAAGCAGCAGTGGTGGTGGAAACAAGATAGTCAGTACACCAGTTGCGGTAGGTATTTTGCCTAGATGTTTCCAATTTAAAAGTTATGTTCTGATGTTAGAAATGGAGAACATACAGTTTATTGTAAAATGAATTAAAAATGATTTTTACAAGTATTATGATTCTATTGGCATATTGTATTTTATGTATATTTTAGGCAGAAGATTTAGATAAGTTAAAACAAAGAGCAGAGAGGTTTGGCGCTGTTGTTTCTAATCAACTTTCTAAGGTAAACTTTGTAAACTTTAGATATACTACTTTTTCTTTACAAGATATTAATTTAAAAAATAGTCTGTGTCTTTAAAGATAAAATTGGGCCATTTTAGGGGTTGATATTAGTCTTGAATATATGTAAATAGTCTTCAGAATTTTGACATTGAGTTGTGATCACGATTACTGATTGGCTTAGCAAAAAAAAAATCCTGATTTTAAGACTTAAAGTATGATTGATTGAAAAAATGGCGAACCTTAAATTCTTAGCCTGTAATCATATGACCAAATTTCACAATTTGTTTATTTGAAAGCTGGTGAACTTCTGCATTGTTACATCATCAAATCTGTAACTTGTCTTCTATTTTCTGCAGTTGGATGAAGAAGAAAAGATAGCTAAAAGAAAGGAACGATTTGGTGCCGTTTTATCACCAACAACCAACAAAAATAATAAGATATCAGATATCAACTCCACTCTTAGTCCAGCTGAACAGGTAAGTTTTTCAGGTAATACCACCCTTAGTCTAACTGATCTGGTAAGTTTCCCAGTTAACACCATCCTTAATCCAGCTGGGTAACAATCCTAGGTAACACCACTCTTGTTTCCTTCTTTCTAAAGGTAAAGATTTTATAAATTTATGCTTTTTATTTGTAGGAGAAGAAAAGGAAAAGAGCTGAGAGGTTCGGTTTAACGACATGAGAACAAACTACTTAATCCCCATCTTAACATTGTTAATATCATTTTTATACCCCCACATCTCTCTATGTGGACGTATATTGTCGGCACCCCTGTCCGTCCGTCCGTCAACATTTGCTTGTAAATGCTCTAAAATCTAGATTTTTTGATGGAATCAAATGAAATTCGGTATGTTTATACATATTCATAAAACGAAGATCAAGTTTGAATTTTCAGCCGATTTTGATGAAACTTAAAATGGATGTTATTGGACTCCTACGTCAGTTTGAGGAGTTATCGCCCTTTAACCTCTATACAGTAAGTGCTTCTATCAACATCAATTGCTCGTAAACACTCTTAAAACTAGAGTGTTTGAAGAAATAAAATGAAATTCGGTATGTGCAAAGTCCGAATTTGAGCTATTTCGACCGTTAGAAGCAGAGTTATTGCCCTTGCCCCAGTTCCAAATATATACTTTTGAACACCACAGATCAGAAACATCAAACAATAATCTAAAATTGGCTCTCTAATCTTTTTTGTGGAAAAAAGGTTGCATTTCCTCTTCTCTCATAAAATGTTGTTTTTTCTATTCTCTTTTAGAAACTATTTGCTCTTGTAAAGCATATTTCTGATTTTCAACAAAAAGATTTTGATTTTTCCTGTTCTACAAATCTAAAAGAGAGATTTTAAACTTGTATATATTTCATTCTCATTTAGTCAATAAAAATTTCAAAAGATTTTAAGATGTTTCCCTCTGTCACTCAGTAAATGTGTTAATTATCTTGCCAGGTGTTAACAAATTAATAAGGCAATGTAAATGTATGTCTGCCAGCTAGAAATTTATTGGCATTGTTTGAAAAAGTATTGTCTATCAACATTTGGAGCATCTTCTGAATTGTTTGCAATGCCTAATATTTGGCAGACAACATGCTTCTCAACAAATAGCCGTGGAATCCTCCAAAGTAAAGGTAGGTGTTTGGAAAAGATTAAGCATGGTCTGCTTTGCACAACACCCGCCACTACTATAATGGTCAAAATCATGAGATACAATCAGATCAGTTCATACCTTGACTAAAAGCTGACAGAAATGCAAGTAGCAGATTTATTGTAGTTATCTAGGAGTTCTCCTAAATGACCATAATATTTCCTACATGACATGAAGTTTGTGTGTCAAGTAACCCTGTTTCAGCAATTTCAATGTCAATACTCGACCTCTAACTAGAAAGTCCTAAGACTCACTATTATTATGCAGCTGATATTCTAATTCTGATAAGAATAATCATTTGATTTACCAACAAAAGTGCCCATACAAAGATGGCTTTGCTAAGCAAGGTGGCATAAGCCCACCAGCAGCTTTGATTGCATGTACAAATCATTGTTTGTTGTCCATTCACATTTGGTTGAATAAGTTCGTGTTTAGTCTATAGAGAATTTTAAGCAAACTGTATTATATCACTACAAGGCTGGTTTTTATCAATGGATGGACGGCCGACATTATCTTCATAATGACATTGACTCATAAAAAATGGAAAATCAATCAAGAATCCATCAAGAGTGAGCACGAGTGAACGGACAACAAGATTCCATACTATGTGTATCAAAAGAATCCATAAAGAATTATGGCATGAAGAGTGAGCAAAAGTTGCACTGTGACTATATGGCTATTAGAGTGAATACACTAAGTTGAAAATGATATCTTGGTGAAAAATTATCAGATCATCCTGAAAATCTATAGGGAGCATCTTCATAATGACATTGACCCACAAAATAAAAATCAAAAGAATCTATAAAGAATTGTAGCCTGTAGAGTGAGCACGAGCCAAATGTGAAGGATTGATGGACCGACAGGATGATTACAATATACTTGTAAAACGTATGCGTGTGTCACTTGACAAACAACAACTGTACAATATATTAAAATTTATATTATTTGTGGTTAAATGTTTGTTCTAGCTGAACTAATTGTTGGTATAAATTATCAGCAGTTTTATCTTCTATCTTTAGCTGAAACAATAATCACAAATTAAAGAAGTAATCAAAGAAAACAGAAATTAAATATTTGGATAAAACAAAATTACAATTCATATCGAAAGTGACAGATACAAATGAATGCTCTCAATACAACCATTTTGAGTCATACAGTTTTAATTTTGGATTCTTTTTACAAGAAAGATAAAAGTGTATCCCTAAAAATATGTTGCACTACTTGATGAGTCTACCTTATGTTGATGAACATATCTTGTACCCCAGAAATTACAATGGCTAACATATTTACATCTAGCATCTAAACTTTCTGGTTGTTGTTTAGAGAGCCAAACCTGAAATTATAGATAAATATCTGTAATAACTATATAATTAAAGCTTTTTTCCTTTTTCAATTCATATGTCTGTGATAACCACAAATTTTTTAATGATTAGTTTGACATTGGCATTGAAATGTGTTGCCTATTTTGAATACCAAAACCCAAATTCAGATTATATTCTGAAAATTGACAAAATTTGTTTTTATCAAATGGTAAACAGAATAACCAATGATTTCCCTATTGATTTGACCAGATAATTACAGGATATGACTTTGAATGTATAAATAATGATAAATAATTGCCAGTGTTTGCTTATATTAGCATGGTGAGAGTCTAAATGTTGTAAATTTAGTTAAATTTAAGTTTTACTTTTCATTTCAAAATGCATTTTTCTAGTCATTAGCTAACCAGGTTCATTGTAAATAAAGAGTATAATGGAATACTTACTAAAGCTTCACTACCATTATATGTATCATAATTCATTGTTGGTACAAATATTCTTAGCTGCAATACAATTTTAGTCGGTTATAATTCTTGTAACCCTTCAAGTTGTGATTGTTTTGTAATGAAAATGTTATAAGCTGCTTCTAATAATTACCTAACCAATTCTGATTTTAGAAAAGAACAATCTAAAAATAATCCTTATCCTTACCAGCCAGAATATTGGTAATATCAAATTCCAAAACCAAGATGGCAGAATACCAAAAGTCAGATTTGTCATAACTAAGCCAGGACAAGTTACATGGGAATAAATACCCTGAAATTTATAATTTAATTTTAACAACAACAAAATATTATCTTTTAACATCTTGCAAGTCTTAAAAATATAATTATTAATATAATGAACATGAAAATATCTTAGTTTAGTCAACATTGATTTATACTGATCTTGTAATCAAATAAGCTTGAAATCTGACTTTAGATTTTGAAAAAAGTCAATGCAATTTAATCAGCTATTGAATAAAAATCTGTTGCTGTTAAAAGTTTATAATATTACCTTGTTATTAAATTGAATATTTAAAGCTATACTTAAGACATCGGTAGAATACTTGGATGAACTGTAATGGCCTCTATTATAAAGAAATATATATATTAAATAATTACATCATACATTAAACCTCAATGCTTGTATGCACTAAAAATGGTACCATTTTTTACTTTTTTAAATCACATTATAACTCATTACCCTTCTTTGTTCCTATGTTGTATGTTGTCTATATCAAAATGTGTTTCAACAGCATTAGAAGAAGATGTCCAAATCAACTGTGTTGGGCAACCATTTTGACCCAAGATATCTTCTAATTCCTTTATCTACAAAAACAATGAATGTACTAGATTATAGTATTGTTCACTCATCCATCAATAAGTGTTATTAAAATAACTTTTCCCTCAGGTTTAAGATATGTTATTTCATAGTTTTGCATACTTTCGCTGAAATCTAATTTGGTAAAAATTTGGCGTTAAATGAATTTAGCTCAACTTACAAGTACAAAATGACCGAAGACATTGGTAGCAAATACTGTTTCTAAACCTTCTTCAGTAATTTCTTCCTTTTCTTTTAACAATCCATCACCAGTGGTAAACATATGAATAAATTTACTGAAATCATGAGAAAGAAGTCAGATCTTAAAAATAATAATGACAACAATAAGCCTTTCTTTTTACTTAGGTAAGAATTGGAAAATATGCACAAGTAGAACCTACATGTGTATCAGATGGATATATTATGATATCATCCTACCTGCTGTTCAATAGTCAAATTCATTGAGCTGAAAATGCAAGTCTTCTATTATCCAGAAGTAGGTCTAGAAACTCTAGAGACAATGATAACAAGTGGTTGCGTAGGAGGATATGCCCACTTTCCTGATACATTTTCAGTATATCAAGGGCGGTCACCTATCGGTGTCAAATCATACCAAATATCTAATTTGTGCAAGATATTGTTGATTTAATCAAAGACACATTATTTAATAAAATTCTGACATAATCTGTCACAATTTTCGATGAGTTTTTACTAAGCATGGGCAATAACTCAAATTCTGTTGATTGAAAAATTGTCAAATTCAATCTTGACTAAGATCTCATCATTATAAATAATCATACGAAATTTCATTTAAATTGGATGAAAACTGTACTCTCTATTGTGTTCACAAACAAATTTTGACGCGTTTTCATACAGTGGTGTAACCTATTTTCGTGGATATAAGGATTCAACACCGAATTTTGTCAAAGTTAAAAAAACTAAATTTTTTTTTTTATGTCTTAGATGTTTCCTCAGATATTCTACAAAATAATTAAAATTGGTTTGTTTCGATTTTCTTTATGAATTCTTCACTTTGACCCATATTTCATGAGCAACCAACTCGGCAACAGCGGCAGAATGCGTCACCTATTTTCGTGTACAATGTTTGAAGTCTAGAAAAACACGTTGTATGGATACCGGGTGGTATAATTAACTTCTCTTAGTATTTATCTTTAATATCAATTCATTATACCTAGTGACAATTCCTTCAAAGAACCACGATTAAAAAAAAATATAGTGAC